CCTCGCACGTGACGTTGCGACTCCTGATTGTTCCCGTCTTTAACGGAGAAGCAGGGCACAGGTGCGGCTTGGTTTCATAGGACACGAAGGGAAGGGCGGGGATGGCGCTTGTTCTGCATTTCTGGCGGACGATCACCTTTCATGCTCCACCTTGACCTTGGAAGAACGATACATGTGTCTATATCACACCCGTTGTGCACAGTGTCTGTTTCCCAAACAGCCAACTTCTGTTGCCGGTTAGTGAGTTGGTTTTTTCCTTCTCTGAAAGTGACAAGGATGGCTTGACTGTGGGAGGCTCCCGGACTCAGTCTGCAGCAATATTTTTTTCTTCAAATCCAAGTTTGCTCAGGTCTGTTCCCCCGCAGAACGTGAGACGGACTGTTACCCCTAGCAAGGAGGACACTTGTAGCCTCCTTCTCTCCCCACTCGCATCCTTTGATTTCCATAAATTTCAATTTCCCAACTTCTGTCCATCAGCCCCTGGAGAGAAGAAGGCTGGTGGACAGAACCTGAGCTGGGTGGGTGCCGGGTGGCGGTTTGGTGGCACTTGGAACTGTTTTGTCCGGGTTTTTGGACAGAGATTGTCAAGTGTTGTTTTTTCAAACTTTGAAGCTGACTTTCTCAGTTTGAAAGTTTTCTTTCAGCAAGCAAGGTGTAGGAATGCTGGGGTTGGAGAAGGCTGTGGAAGAAGCGCTCTTTGATACACAAGTCATGATTTGCAAATTTGGACTTACGTCTCGATGCATGACGGGTGGAGGTATATGAGAAAGGAGCAAGGGCTGTGAATGTGTGGAGTTTTGTGTCTTGGAGTTCATTTTAGCAAAAGGATACTGTCGCCGATCTCCGAATGCACCGAATTTGTTTCGACCTCCAAAGTTAAGCAAAAAAGAGCACGCCTGGTACTGGCCTAGGGGACTGGCTGGAAAGCGCTTAGGTTGCGTGGGCTTTTGTTTTGGCAGATTTTGTTTTGTGGCAAAAAGCTCGGAAAGGTTCTTTGTGAATGCCTAGCAGGACCTTTGAATGGAGTTTTTGGAAAGTTCGGGAATAGGCTGGAGGCGAAGAATTGAATTTGCTGCATGCCAGGAGCTTCACAGAGAGAAGTCATACCTTCTTGGCCTGTTGGCTATGATGAAGTGTAGTATCTGTTCTTATCAGTGTGACAACTGCTATGTCTCCAACTGGAGACTTGCTTGTCACGTCATTTTTTTCTCGGGGTATGTCTTCTTGAGCTTGCTCAGAAGCTTGCACGTACTCAGCTTTTCATCACTTGCTCGCATCTCGGTTTGTGTGGCACGTGCCGGAAGCTGATTGGGTTGCCTTTTTTCACTGCCATTTCCCCTCGAAGCGTTCTTGTAGGCCTTTTTTCTTATGCGGTTGCTTCGCGCCTTCGCGCGCCCGTTTTCTCGTTGCGAGGCGGCGGGACAGCGGCAGCTGCTGGAAGAGCTGCGCCTGGCGCGGGCGCAGACGGACGCGACGGATGGGGCGGGCTGCGGGCTCGGTGTCTTTTCCGCCTTTCGAACAGACAAATTCAAAGAATCCGAGAGGTCAAAGGACCGTTTGTGCAAGAAACATCAACAGTTCCTTTGATCTTTGCTTATAGGCTGCTTATGTCGATTCTGGGTATGCAAGTATGACTATGACCTCAGCAAGATGGGCGAACAATGTGTAGGAACCACTGACGCAGCGGCAATGATCATTTAAAGTTTCCGACGTGATTGGAGTTTCGATTCATAGTTTCACAGTTGCATTGCAGCCACACTGCGAGGGTCCACAATTTTGGAGGGTCCAGTCAAAGCTCATCACGAAGGATCGATCTAAGTGAGCCTCGGTCAACATCCAATCACATCAGGTCTGAGGGTCTTTGTGACAGTTCTTTGGTTGTCATTCTCGGCGTTTCACCTGTGAACCTTAGTTACGTGCTGTTGTATCCAGTTGCCGTTTCTGTAGCCGTTCCTGATTGATGGCACATGTAAAGTTTGGCCAGCATGCAAGCCATCCAGGGGTTAAGTCAGAGGCCTGTTGTAGTTTGCTTGTTGTAGTCTTTTGTCATCCATCTTGCTCGCTTCTTCGAATCTTCCTCTGGTCTTCTCCAGCTCTTGGGCCACTTGTGCGCCTAGCCTCTTCTGGCAGGAGATGCAGCACCAGAGCCTTTCAGGGCGCCTGCAGCGGGTGGAGGACCGGGCGGCTGCGCACAAAAGGGCTCTGGCTTCCAGGTGTGAGGCGACATGTGCTCAAATTTACGTGTTTGAGATGTGCATGCTCACACTTGGGTTGAAAGTCTGCTCATGTTCTTCATCCGTGATGTTGGCACTCGTTCATACGTTGGTCAAGCTTGCGTAACTGAGACGGCAAGCTGGAATGTAACAGACCTTTTTGCGTGAGTGAATTTCACTTTGGCTGCCCGCACATGTAGCGTGTTGCAGTGATTGCTTCTTGTGGGCATCACCGTCGGCAAAGGCCGGTACTGCTTTTTCCCGGCTGAAATGCTGTTGCACTCTGCATCTCTGCATGCTCGGCCACGACCTGTCTTCCCATACAATGCGTGTCATGAGGAGCTGGCCGTGCTAAAGTCGCACAGCCTGCCGCCAGGGCCCAGGTATGCTCAGAGACTAGATGAAATCTGGAAGGTTTTTCTTTGGCTTGTCCTCTTGAGCTAACTCATCACCCTGTGCTGTTTTGTGCCAGCGGGGCTGTCTCGCAGTGAAATCGTCATCTTCTCGATGACTAGTCGCTATCATGGTGATCGCCGCAAGTTGTCCTGCGCCTGTGACCGTGCATTCCTTCGCCAAACTACATTCCTTTGACTCCCTGAATGACTGATGGCTTTGTTCATGCGTTGCCATCGGCTGCTTCACCAGCAGAATGATTACACTTGACTTTTTTGAATGCCGGTCCTCTTTGCTGGGCCCACTCCTGATCGAATGTCTTTGCCCAAAAAGATGCCCTCCAACCTAGAGGGCGTGGTATGTCATTCTCAACTAGTGTAAGCAACATTTGCCGCCTCACTTGCATTTGCTCTTAAGCAAGAGTTTTCTGGCCAGGTCCGAGGGGCAGTCAGAGCTTCAGGCTGGAGGGCTGCCTGGGAGAGGAAGCTGGAGGGGTGCTCTCTGGAGGAACTCTTGCATGAAGGATGCCGCAATCCATAGGCTTCTTTGGTTTGTCATTATCAGGTGAAGGCAATGCTTCCTGTACCTGGTGACCAGAAGCAGGGTCACGGGTTTACAGCTCCATGTTCTCGACTTTGCCTCCCTCATGCCAGCGCATGGCATGCCATCATGGCGCTCGCATCACATTGCAAGGCGTAGAGTTTCTTCTGGCTTACTCTGCACTAGACAGTGCTGAGTGCCAAGCTGTAGACTTGGTTTGTTTCACGCAGACCTCACATTTTGGACACGACGAAGACTTTTGCGGATCCGCAATCCCAAGCTCTGTGCGGATCAGTCGCGTCGACATGGGATGCAAGGCGCTGTGGCAGAGCTGCACACGCCTCGCTGGGCGTGTGGAGGGCTTGGAGCGGGCGGAGGCGAGAGGGACAGGGAGCGAGCCCGGGCTGTGTGTTCGACCAACTCCAAATTTAAAGACAGCTGTATTGCGATTTGATGTTTAGACCGAGCATGGCAAGTTGGTTTGCATGCAAGTCAGGAAGCTGTGCTTTTTTCTTTGTCACGCTTTGGTGGGGCACTGTTCGGGCAAAGCTGAAAGCTGATGTGCCGGCCAGAGTTTTGCGCCTCGCTTCCCCAGGCACAGCGCCTGCAGGGCAGCCGAAACGCGGCATTGCAGGCAGTGCACTCCATGCAGGCGGGGAGCGGCAGCTCAGATCACTCCACCTTGTGACATTGCAAAGCGGGTTCACATGTTCCACGTAAAAGCATCCCGACAAATGTGTTCTGGAAACGTGTTGTCCAACCTCCGAGTGTCTTTGAGGACCAAGAGGAAGCCACGTAGCCTTTCGAAGAGGCTTTCGATTGGAGCATTCCCAAGTTGGAGTTGCAGGTTTGATGCGATCGAGTCTAACACGGTTTTGTTCATCTTTCCACGGGTGCCACTCACCTTGCCTGCAACATAAGCGTGAGTGATAGGGCTGTTGCAGCCACGGACAGTTTGTGCACCAATGTGGGGCAGCAGGGTATATCGGGTACGGTTCATCGTGTCTCTTTGAGCATTGTCAATCTGGCCAACCCAGGTGGCTGCTCAAGAGCTTGTCACAGTCAACGGAACAAAGCCGTGGCAAAAAGGTGCTTGGAAATCGGAGTGTTGGTGGCGCTTTGGCAGAGAGCTCCCAAACTGCACGACGGATGTAGATGCATTTCACTCAAGTGTTGTGTTGAGAAGCGAGCAGAAAAGGGCCGCTGGCCTCGATTGTTCAGGCGGAAAAGATGGCTGCCGCAGTGCTGCATGCAAGCAGCATTTGGGAGGTACCTCCAAAATGGCACGAAGCAACTTCGAGAAACTTTGGTAAATGGAAGGGGGGGAAAGAGATAGAGAGAGAGATCAACGGAAAGTGCTTTGCCTCAGGACGTAAGAACAGTCCCGCCTCCACACAACAGCGCAGTCTGCGTGCCAGTGGACCATCTCGGCTCAACACGCCCAGACGCGGCCAATCTGGTATAGCACCTTGGTTGCAAACAATGTAGAGTTCGCAGGCCCTGTCGCATGCAGCTCGCGCGCCTATTTTCTACCAATGCAACAATGAAACAAGTGGGCTCATAGGTGTCGAATGAAGCCAGCGTGGTGATAGATTGAGCACCAAAAAGGTACATTGATTTGCTCGTCATTGCCATGCAATCTTGCGGACAGTGTCAGGCACTTGAAGGAAGAAGCGTCCAGCCACGACAGAGGCCGATGAGAGACGAGCCTGCTTGCCAAACTGTGTGTTAAGCTTGCAGGTTTCGCTGAGCCACCCCATGTCAATGTAGGCAACTTTGGACAACCTGAAGAATTGAATAATTGCTATTTGCATGAACCGTGAAGCGGCTTAGAAGGCCAGCAGAACCTTGGACATGGCAGAGATTGTCCATGAAGGCGCGGTTCTACAACGGTAGCATTGGCAGCGAGAGGGGTGGCACAGGTATCCGGTATACCCTATATGTTTGGGTCTGACAATTGTGTGGCGCTATGCTGCAAGATCTTGCAAGCATTTTGCTCGGAGCACATGCCGTCTCTTTGGTGCAGTGTTGCTTGCCTCAGTTGTTGCATGCGGACAAGACATGTCGCAGACTGGGCGGCACCATGGATCCCCTCTCTCAATCTGGATGCCCGCCAGCTCGGCAGGTTTGCGATTTCGCCCTGGGCAAAAGGCGACGGGGCTTCTAGCTGCACATGCTTGCACATATGGACTTACTGCGCTTGTCCGTGCACAAGTATTTGTATAGGAGGCGGAAAGGAGTGCACTTTTCGGGGCTGTTGGCTGTGGCCAGTGGCCTCCATCAAGAGCCACAGCCTCTGAAGTGCCCAGCATCAGCGGCGCGCAGACGATATCAACACTGCAACACAAGGATCACACAAATCGGGATAAACGGCGACTTGAATACCATGTTCATTCTTTACTCTTAATATCCATACACTCCAACAAGTGGCTGCCACATCTCAATTTTTAAATTTTTAAGCTGGACCTGCGTGTGTGTGTGTGAGAGTATGTGCGTGTGTGTGTGAGAGAGACTACGTGAGTGTGTGAGGTCCTGAACGATTGAAACCCAAATCGCAACGGCCTGCCGTAGCCTCTTACAGTTTTACGATGAAACGACCAGCTCTTGTCGTCGCAAGTGATCCATTTTCAGTCGTCGCAAATGACCCTACATTGTCGTCGCAAGAGAACTTCTAGCCCCTCAACTGTTTTGTCCCTAAAACCAAGCCCAAATTTGGAAATGCTTAAACCCCAAGCAAGTCGCACTGGACCAGAAAGGTCGCCTAGTACCCCTGGGGAGGAACCAAAGGAACTGAATGGCCTGAGCCTTCGGGCAACAGCGACAAAGCTCAGAGCTCTCAGAGCCAGGCGCTGCAGAAAAGCGAGTCGCTGCTGGACTCGCTGGAGCCCACAGAGGCACCCTCTGAGGCAGAGCAGTCGGACCTCTCCGAGGAGTCCGGAATGGGACGGTGGGTCGTGGGTGAGAAGTATTGCGGAGATACAAGAGGGAGCGAGCCTTTGCAGACGTCATGTTGCTGGAACATGCTGCGATTCCCCTTGCCGAGGCTGAGGAACATGGCTATACACGTATATACACATCTCCATGCCTTTGTGGATGGAGGCAGAGAGATAAGGAAAGCAAGGAATACAAGGCACTGAAGACCTCCACGAGAATTTGCTGGCTGCACTTGCCATGATCAACCCATAGTCTTTGGAGGGTCTCACCACAGTCCCTGGCTGCCTGTTAGTGTCCTGGCAAGGAGCCGCACGAGCCAAGCTGGAAACCCATCGATTGCCAGGTTCGCGGCCCTTGCTTGCAGTGAAAGAGAAGCTGTTGCTTGCTGTTTGAGTCACCCCCAGCAAACTGGAATGCATTGACCTCATTAGACGCCCACCAGGCTGCAAGATGATCAGCCATGGACGGGATGTGTTATTTTGCTCGGTCAACGCGTCAGGCCGCCAGCTGCGGCGACTTTGCTGGAGGGCCAGCCAGGCCGGCGGCTCGGAGTGGTCGGCTAGAAAGCAGTAGCTTCAAAGCAGTGGCCTGCTTCCCTACCCGGAGAATGCCGGTCTTGGCAGCTTCACTGCATCACTCAGCAATTGTTGCTACTGAAGCAACTCAGAACCCAACACACGCACGCACGAAAGCATGCAACGACAAATGACATCCGAAACAACCAGCTGCTCAGCGAACCCAGTCAGCTCCCAAAGCCATCAAAAGTTGCAGTGACCGGCCATCATTCTACAAAGCGCAAGGTTACGGGCACTGTCACCTGCTATACTGGTGCTGAACATGACAACGCGCTCATTGAATCACACGTAGCTAGTGCCTGGCACTACTTGTTCCATGGAACAGGAGTTCCCATGTTGCTGTCGTGTGAAGGCGCTTGAGGCAGCGTTCATCCCTCCAATCACGCCTTCCTTGCATGACAGCAAGCTCTGGCCAAGCAATATCAACTCAGGCTTGACCCCTCAGGGATGTTTGAGCTGCGGTTGCCAGGCGCATATCTCTTAGCAACGCTGGATGGCTGCTGGGCACTTGGATCGGAGGGCATGAGGCAAGAACTTGGAATCAAGCGAGTGCCTCAGCCAGTTCCGCCCTCTCCTAAAGCAACCTTTGAAGGATGCGAGGAGTGCGGCCAACAATTCATAAGCGATCTTTTCAAAGTGTTTGGGGCTTGATATCATGTAGTGGTTCAAGGCGCTCGGTTCTGTCAAACCCATGTTGACTCTTTGCTCAGGCCACGCTTTTGCGTGTGCCTGCCCGGCATCATGCTATTTGGTGGCATAGGTGCCCGGGTGCCCAGAAAGCTAATTCAAGGTTGTCGTGCAGGCTTTTGTGTGGCGAACATGCTAGCATCCGTATGGTAATGCGTGGCACTGTAGCTAACGAACTAGATCTGCTATTTGGGACCTGGGAGAGACATAGCCATAGCCCTTGTAATTTAATTACGAAGATAGCCTAGTCGTTAACGAGTGCTTTATTTGCTTCGTCTCCCTACCATCTCTCTATGATGTGATTGGCCAACTCAGGTAATTTGCATTGCAGCTGCCTACAGCACTTCGGCCTTCTACGCAGCTCAGCGAACATTTGGAACCAGATGGTGAGATCTGAGTTTGCCTGCCAGACAAGCTGACATACATGAGGGATGTAACGGTCTGATCCGCATTGTGCGTGGAAGTTGAACGGGTGGCATGACTATGCCGTCTCTTGCCGCTCATGATTGACACAGTCTGACTTGACTGCTGAGTGACCCCAGGCCATTGCTGCGCTACTGTCAATTTTTACCATGCCCGGCCCTTGAGCGGTGCTTCATGTCTAGTCGGCGAGGCGGTTTGGTTTGGCAGGGCTGTTGCATGGGACCTTGCTTTGTGGAAGGATCCTATGCGCACAAGGTCCTATTCCACAGACCTTGCGGTCTCCTCGCTGATCGGGGCCTGGCGAATGCTGCAGTCTCAGCCGTGCTGGCAGACCTGGCGGACCAAGTTGCGCATGAGCACTGGGCCGCGCAACAAGATCCTACAAAAAGAGCTGGCAGCGTAAACCTGGATAGGGACCCCAACTTTTCTGCTTTCCTGCCAGAAGGCCTTTGGTCACAATCCAGATCTCCCTGCGCAGCTTCAGGCGCCGGACCTCAGCGACGGCCATGCACCCAGTTCGATGGCTCGTGGCCCATGGTCAGACTGTGTATGTGGGAACATGTCTACGATGTGCACGTATTCACTGATAATCCTTGGCATGCTTGTCAAACTCCTTGAGGGGTTGCTGACCAAATCTCGCTGCAGCGAAGTGCATTAAGAAACAGCGACGCCAATCAAGAGTCCGGTCTCATGAGAGATGATGTCATTGATAGAGAATGTAGCACATTGCACAAGAGAGTTGCTATATATTTGATGTCCGACCAGTCGCAACGGGAGTGATTGCTTTCAGCCTAAGATTTCCCAGGATTGGGATGCTGAACTTAGTGCGCTGCTAGAGGCGCCCTCGCATGAGCAGGGAAAGGGGGCGCACCGGAACTGGGAGAGTCTGGTCACAGAGCAGGTCTTGAGCCAGTGATTTCTTTCTTCTTAGACGTGGCCCAGGACCTGGGAAGCTATGAATGTAGGAATTGACAAATGCTGTTTGTTGGAAGTTATCGGCAATTGCGTATTGTAGATGCTTGCAGCGAGAAGGAAGGCTCGCATCATGATGCAATCAGGGATCAAATGTTCCAGTCTACAAAGAATACATCTAGACATACTTGGTCACATTTGTGACTGGAAGAAAGCAATCGACACCAACCGTCAGACACCAGATTAATCAAGGGGATCAACGCTGCCCGTCGCAGAAGCAGCCAGAGCTGTCAGACGTGGTGGCCCCATGCGGATGCTTCCAGGTGTTGGGTGTACTTGCGCTTCTCGCACTTCTTACTTTCACAACCCCAGTCTGCAAGGGAACATCCTTTCGACGGATGAAGCGTTGGCTGAAGTCATCGAAGCTGAGATAAGGCTGAAGCGCCTGGATCAGAAATGCCGGGTCTGGCCTTTGAACTGAAGCGGAACGCCAGCTTCGGGTCCAGGTTGCGTGCGTATCGAAGCTCAGGTCATGCACATAGTCATCCTCCCAAACTACAAGGAGGATGAGCAGATGATGCTGCGCGCCTTCCCAAGGGCGCACATTGCCGTAGGGTGCGTTTGCAGACATTGCCGTTGTTTGGCTTTGCAGTGTTTGCCATTGGATGCTCCATGATGCTCCATTAATAGAAACTTTAGATACGGGTTTCCGGGTTTCCGGGTTTGCGCGGGAGGCACTCTGGAACAGATCGCTGCTTCGACAATGGCAAAGTCAAGAATCAAGGCGCGCTCGGGCCTTCAGGGCTTTTCTACCGGCGGTTGCTCGGTTGAGCCTCAAATGCTTTCTGCCTGAGCGATGCTCCCGTACATGTTGTTGATTATTGTTTTGCTGCACAAGTTGAAGAAGCTTAGATGGCCAAAACTGCACGTTGTCCGCTGGATTGGCCAGCTACTGTTGCACCTCACTTGAATCTCACTTTTCTATGTTTTGCATATGTGGAGGTTGTTATCCCGCCGTGGATCTTATGCGAACGTGTGAATGGCCAGGTGGTTCTTGCAATGGAAGCTCGCGAAGGTCTTGATGGCAGCACGAAGGCCGGTGCGGCAAGCTTCCCATGAATGCGCATTCATCGGCTTCGAGCCGGAGTCTATTAGTATTCCCGACCCGCGGGCTAAACACAATCAAGGTTGGGTCACACCAACCAGCTGGGCTTATCTAGGGGTCGATCGCGCACTCTTTCATTTCTCAGACTTGCAGAGTGGCAGGAATATGCATTATTACTTGACGCACCGCTCGAAGCGTCGGCCCCCTGAGGCGGAGCGTTTAGTAGAAAAGGCAAAGGACTGGCTGCTTGGCACAGGGATTTGGCATGGCGCAGCTTACCAAGTGTCCAGCCGCACTACCTCCGTTGTCTTGTCCCGAAAGTGGCTGCACGGATGTGCAAGTCGTGTAACTGGAGCTAGACCACAAACAAGCAATGTGTGGGCACCGTATCAACTGATAGTGTTCTTGGCAGAAGATTGACACTTTTGTGAATGATGGGGGGCCACTAATGTGTGCCCAGGTCTCTTGGGAATGTATTGTCTGTGGGTCCTGTGTAAATCTACTGGCAGAGACTGCTTTTGTCCTCTGGTCACACGCTTCTCCCCATCCGCTTGGCAACAGTCAGCAAGCTTTGACAGATTTCTAGAAAACCAGACAAGCCCTGCGAGCCTGCTGGATGCTCAGGTTTGCCGACATCTTTTTCACTTCTCACCCGGCCGGGGAGCTGAGAAACGTATGAGCGGCCAGCCAGTCTGACATTCGGAAAGACCATCTCCACACACGATGCACACCTTTTCCCCAAATTTCATATTACAGGTTTGGAGAAGGGAAAGCTGAAGGATTTTGTCGACAGCACACTGCTCTGCGTCAACTTTGAAGAACCACCCCATGTTGTTTGCAGTTTTTTTAGTTGCGTTCACTAATTGTGAAGCGGCTTGCCGAGGAAGTCATTTGCCTGTCCTCCCGAGAGCCAACACTCCCTGTATATACATTTCTGTTCAAAGGAAGGCCTGCAAACCGCTCCCATGCGTGAGCAGTTCAGCTACGGCTCGACCTGCAGAGAGAGTTTAGCATGTTGCCATTATGTTTGTTCTTATTGTTGTGCTCATTTTGTTCGAACCAATCGCCTGATTGGATCATGCGAAATCTGAAGCCCAGGCAGACCTGCCTGGCGACCTGGCGGGGAAGTCCTCAAACACCCAGCCGGCATCTTGGAGGGACTGGCCACACCAACACCAACGTTTTTCCAAGGAGAGCTTGAAGCCCCTCTTTGTCTGATATGGCTGAGCTTGCAGAGGATCGGCCACATTTTTAGGATCTCATTCTGTTGCCTGCCTTTACAATCGATCTTAAATTGGAAGTCATCGGCAGCTGTGGTCTCCTGATCTTAATTTTTAGTCTTGGATCTTCAACAGGATGTTTCAATTCTTGGCTGGTTGCTTGCCCAGTTGCCGTCCACTCACGCGAGTGTTTCCTCAGATTCGAGGAACAAAGGGCCAGCAGTTTCCGTGTGTGTTTCAGTTGAGCGCTCTCGAGGTGGGCATACAAGCAGATGCTTGGTCGATACTCCAATGCCGGCAGCTCGGATGCTTCTCCTTGGAATCAGTGTGGTCTTGAGGCCAAGCTTGCAGGAGAGAGAGAGAGAGAGAGACAGAATCAGAGAGAGAGAGAGAGAGAGAGCGAGAGAGAGAGAGAGAGCCGTGAGCGCAAACCCCTGTGAGCTGCATGTACATGACTGTGGCTCAGACATTGCTCAGGTGTGACGTGGCTGGATATCTCATACACACTTTCAGCATGTCGGCCCCTAGGCAGGTGCAGATGGACTCCATTGACGAAACCAAGGTTGTGGTGTACTCGGCCTGCTGCTGCTGCTACAGCGGGTGCCTGCCGGAGATTGCGGGAGTTGGCTGTGCCGCTCAGGAGACGTTGCTTTGCTTGGAGGCGGATATTTGCTGCAAGCTCGGCACGTCACCTCTTTGCTGCGGCTGCTGCGCTCTCCGCTGTGTCGGCTGCACTACGTGCTGCAAGACTCAGAGTCAGTGCTGCTGCCTGGTGGGCGGCTCTGCGTTGCCGCCTGACGCAGAGGTGCCTTGCATGCTGAGCGCTTGCTTCCTCACTTGCTTCCCAAAGCCCGGCTGCTGCGTGAAGCTGGGCGAAATCAAAGGATGAAATGCGATGAAGTGGGATGAGGTGCACAGCCAGATTCTGAGGCTCACTTGCGGAACAGCACGCGCAGAACCACTCCCGGCAAGCTTTAGGAAGGAGGCAGCTAAGCCTCGTCTCTTTCTTGGTAATTCAAGCAATCTGAGAGTTTGCTCTGATGAAGGAGCTGCCCTCTTGCAGTCTCAGAGGCAAAAAGAAGGAATTGCTGATACCCGGGTGTAGAATATGTCAACGGCTTGACTGGGGTTGGTCTTCTGAACCCTATGTTTCTGTGCTGTGCGCGCACACGCCCCGCTGTCAACATAGAGCACTGCCACGGGCCATTTTCTTATCTCATGGCAGCAACTCCGTCTGATCGATCTGATCCCAGGATCTTAGCCGAAGGGACAGCTCACACGTGCTGCTCTCCGTGGGAGATGCCGACACGCTGCGGGCTGAGAGGGGGCTGTGGTCGAACTTGGAGGTGGTTGGAGCATTATTGACTCCTCCCTTTTCCACAAAAGAGAAGGGACGCTCATTTTCCCTTATTTCAATGCCTGACTCATTTCAAACCCCTGCCTGTGTTGGGCGATAGATTGCTTTGTGTGCTATTCTTGGCAGCCACCCTCGGACATTCATACTAGATCGTTGAATTATCTGATAATAGCCACAAGATGACCTGTGGAATTGAAGTATTCGAATTTGTGCTAGGCAAACATGGCGTGCCCGAATCCCTTGAGTGCACGAAACCTATCCAAGAAGTTGTCCACCTGTGCGAGACCTGTCCTGTTGAGTCAATTTCCGATTGCCGTCGCGTACCCAGGCTGTGGCATCCTCAGTACTTCAGTGCTTTGGCCTTCCAGGCCAGAATATAAAGCCGCAGTGAATACGATCGACGTGGTCGATGTCAAAAACTGGTGACTTTTCTACTTCTGCGGTTCGCACGCGACCGCCACGAGTGGCACATGGTGGACTTGTAGTTGGATTGTGAATAGCGAAACATCCGCCCAAGTCAGCATCAAGGGCCGAACATAATCAATTTGATGGATATTCTCAGTTGTCCTTTTGCATAGTTTTGCATGTTGGCCCAGACAAGTTTTGCCGTGAATATGTTTCAAAATATTCTTGCCAATATAGGCACAACGACCAGAGCTGTTCTGCAGCTGCGCTAGGCGCTGACAACCCCAGCAGAGGAACGCGTTTGGTGCTTCTGGCAGCAGGGGTCTGAGGGAATTCGCGGGCTGGAACCGACCGTGTCAAGTCAAACATTTTGACTGGACACGGTCTTCAGGCTTGCCAAGAGGGCTGTTCGAGGAAGCATTGGAAAGGGCTTTTTGGGCTGAGGAAGGGCACTGGCAATCATAAGCTAAGGCACAGACTTGATGTCTGCCGCAGCTTCCTTTCTGAGGTCTCCAATGCTACTGTTTCGCAACTTGATGACTGCTCCTGCTCGGAGCCTCAACTTGCCTTCGTGAATGCCAGCACTTGGGCTCGTATTTCTTGCATGATGAGCTCGCACTTCTTGGATGATATTTGTCGAAGTTCTGCCTTTTCAGGTCTTGCTAGCTGACTTGCCCATTCCCAGGTCTTGGCACAATGCTCTGTCTTTGCTGTATCCTTCAATGATTCAACCAACCGCTACATAATCCAGCGTGATACAGCGTCATAGCAGGGTGGGTCTCGGGAGGGTCATAGCTCCCTGGCTGCCGCCAATAGTCACCCATGGTCTTATATACTGTGACCCAAAATTACTACATGGCAGGGGTTGGGGCCCTGTTGGGAGCGTGGTGAGATTCTTGCTTGAGCGGGAGTTTCCCAAACGACTCATTACGAGCAGCAATTGGATTTCTGGGGTTGCCTTGCAGCTTCACCGAGGCAATCACGCGTGTCTCAGGGTGCGCCTGAGTGTGAATGATTGCTCAATGAAAAATGGCTACCACGCTTCAGCGCTGCCAGTTTGCCACAATCAGTCAAGCACCACTGACCTACCCGTTGAAGGTATGCCACCTTGCTCTTTGAACTTGCCGGGCTCACGAACCAGCCTCCAGCTCAGACTAAGCCGACCAAGCATCCGAAGTTTGAAGCTGCCAAGTATTGAAAAGCCGTTTGCCAATAGTATTGATGTTCTTGAAAATCCCGAGCCTTCGACGTTGATGTTTCGCCCTAGTTGAGCTCGGCAAGAACAGGGCAGCTGGACAGCTTGTTTGTAAACTTCTTTCGCTGCGGTTCAGGACGCTCACTCCGGCTTTGTGCTTCTCCTCGTACTCCATGACCCTGGCCCTGGCTCACCACCCTATGGTGGCAGGCCTTGGGAGCCTTTGGGAGCCCTTGGGAAGGAGTTAAGGGAGGGAAGCAGAGATGCAGTCGGACTTGGTGTCAGAGGCAGGTGCGAAGGACGCTGCATGTTTCCGTGAGCTGCCCCGGCACCGGCTTAGCAGGATTTCTGACCAAGTCAAGCAGAAATGGTGGACTTGATGAATGGACGAGGGTTGCTTGGGGCGCAGTTGCTTAAAGCCCTTTGGTTTGAACTTCAGCTCGGCATGTGTGCAGCTAGCATTTGGAAGGCTGGGATCCCGACGTCATTGCAGAGGAGTGCGAAAGCATGATACTACTTGGGATTGCTGGAGTCGGGCAAACTGACCGGTCGGGCCAACTGACCCATGCATGGTTGAAGGTAGCAATCTGGTGCATGAGGGACTTGTGATTTTGAAGGCTTTCACAGATTTGCAAGGCAAGCAAGCTTGCAGTTTTCATATGTGGAAGAAGACACGCGTTGTCACCTGGGGCTTCAGCTGGTGCAGGACCACCACATGTTTTGCAAGTGCTTCTTCGCCTCGATCCGGTGGTGGCAGAAGGTGGGGCGCAGACTGGTTGCTCTCAAGCCAAGCAGGGTCTACAAAAAACACACGTTGTAGTTTGAACAGGCATTGCCTTCATTTGGCGCTGGAGCACAGTTCTCCTTGCGGAGTGTCAACCAAGTGCTAGGCTTTGTGTTCGCCCCACTCAGCACGATCTTGGGCTCAGGCACACCTTCAAGCGTATTGAATGCAACCATCTGGCCAGGTGTGCCCCGAGGGCAAGAAGGCCCCGCCCAGAGTTCAGCCAGAGCCTTGATCAGGGGCAGGGGATCAAGGCGCTTGACAGGGGCATGAGTTCGGCCCGATTCAGAGCAGGGGTGAGGTTTGTTTGTGCATTGCCCACTGGACTGAACCCCCACTAGATTTTGAGAGCATCGATCTCAGTGGCCTCTGCAGACAGCTGATGGCCCACATTCACTGTAGATCGCGGTTTGCCTGCCGCTGTTGAAAGCCCATTTTGCCCTTGGCTGGGGCTGCTTGCTTGGCCAAGTTTTCTTTGGAGCAGACGTGGACACCTACAGCCTCATGCTAATTGCATCACCCTAAGTGGCTCCTGATCCTATCGGCTTATCAGCACGCTTGAAAAAATCAACATGCACTCGCTTGTCTAATTTAGTCGAGATGTTTTTGTGTTGTAGTTTGCGATCTAGCGCACCCCCAGCTCTGGCTTAGCAGTGGAGCTGGAGTTGCCAAAGTGCACCCAGAGTGTACCCAGAGTTTACTTCGAGCACTACACTAGTGAACGATGCAATTTTCGAGCTTGAATGCGCAGAAGGCACACAGCGCTGCGAAATGATCAATCATGAACCTTGGCAAACCGCGGCGGATGTTTTGCGCTACATGCACTGATAGCAAGCTGCTAGTGAACAGTGCACTCAATTGGCTTCGATACCCTGTGTTTGCTCGCTTCAAGTTTGACCTTCGCTAGTGAGTTCTGTTGTGCTTCCACTTGCATTTGCAATAATAATGATTATAGGTGGCATTGTGTTTGAGTGAGGCATGTTGAAAGGCAGATAAGAGGCGATCGAGTGTGGAATTAGGAATGATGATGATTTTGGGAAAATGGGTCATGTGCAGAACCACGCAGCATAATTACAAGCACAAACTTGACATTTTCCGCCCTTTCCAATTCTGTGAACCATCCTTTGTTCGAGGCACAACTATCATGGCACTGCCACGCTGATCCCTCGTGTAGTTTCTAGATACTTAACATTGATTTAGTACCCTTGGCTGCCAAAAGTGGTGGTGTCCTTTGAACTCGTGCCGCATTCTCAAAGCTTAAATGCACATCAAGAAATGTTTGAGATTCCCCCAAGCAGATGCTTGAATTCCAAACCAGACAGGAGTCGCCAAGATCCGGCTGCCAAAGGAAACGTCGGCCCCAGCGAGTTGCTGCCGAGGGTGAAACCCATCTACCTGGCGTCCACAGCCTTCTTGGTTGAGTCCGGCGCCCGACATGTCTTGGCTAGCCGGTTGCTCCACCCAGTGGCCAGCTTGAGGCAACGGGCGTCACCCTGTGATGCATTGGGAGCAGGGATTCCTCCGAATGCCTTTCGAAGATATTTGAGCCAGAATCTGCCAATGAAATGGCGTCTTATGGCAATGAGCTTTGACCCGCATTTCACAGTTTTCGGGTCGAGGGAGAGCCAGCAGAGCCTTGCTCTCATCCTTTGACTGCTCAGGGAGGATGGCTGGATGGCCTCAGTGCGTGCGCGCTTCCAGCAGGCTACGCGGCACTGCCAGGCGTGGAGGGTTGCGTGGCATGGAGCACTCCCGACATGTTTCTTGGCACTTGTTGGCAATCTTGGCACCCACGAACCAGTGTGTGACAGTTCACGCACCTTTCCGTAACTGTATTCGCAAGTTGCGCGATTTTGTATTCATCAGATGGCCTCGCTCAGAGCTCTTGTTCCTGTCAATGTTGGGAATGGGCCATGCGCAGGGCGTCTCTGAGCTCAGCTACACAGTGCAGGGTGCCCCAGGAACCAGCAAAACATGTGCCTCAAGTGCAAGGCTTGGGCTGCTGTGCTCAGTGTTTGTGATCTTGATATTTCGGCTTGTCAGGCTCTCCTGGTATCTCCGGTAAATACTTGTTGGAACGGATATGCTTTTTGCTCTTCTTCTTTCTTCTTTTTGCTTCCTGCCATTGTCGACTCTCTTGCTTTTACATGGTGTTGCTGATGGTAGCGCTGTTGGTGATGCTGGTGGTGGTGTTACTGCAATGGTGATGCTGGTGGTGGTGCTACTGTAATGGTGGTGCTGGTGATGGTGCTGGGATGATGGCGATGATGGCGATGATGGTGGTGATGGTGGTGGTCGTGTGCGTTGTGTGTCTGGGCTTTCTCTCCTGTTGCTGGTCATGATCGCAGAGATTTGACTCGAGTTGGCCACATAATTCTTCATTGGCTTAAAGACAAGGAATGGGGAAGGCAGGAAGACGCAAGGTCTTCAAGAACGTCAGTGATGTATGAATGCCGCCGAAGCTGCAACAATGCAATGGGCTTGCGCCGGGTCTTGGCAACAGAACCAATTGGACTCGCGAGAATACATGCGCCCCCCCCCCCCCCCCATTTAGCAGCTCATGGCGCCCGTTGAGCTACCGGAAAGGTAGCACGTCTTGTGTGAAGATTCCCCGACTGGCCATATTGCCTGAAATTAAGGCTTTGAGCGGCTTTCCCGAAAGACAGACGTCCAATTTAGTGAAGCCCGCAGCACAAGCACGTGACTGCGTTTGGGCAACGCGAGGCTGCAGTACATCACGCTGATCCAGGAGTTTGGCTTTCGTGCCCTACCCCTTTCCGTGCACACGGGCACAGCTAGTGCCTGGGCGAGGAACAGAGTTGGAGCTCCGCATTTTGCTTGGCCTTGGAGCCTCCAAAAGCCTGAGAGCTAACTGGTTGGGAAAACAAGCGCCAGACCACGTTATCAGAATGATAGTTTGCGAGTCCGCGCTTTATTTGGATTTGCTCCTTTGTTTGACAAACAACGAGACAGACATGAACAAATTGCACAGCAAATGAGTATCGCCGTTCTTACCTACCATGCTTGGCGCACATGCCATGACTTGTGCGGATTGTTCAATCATGTGTGTGTGTGTGGGGTTGTGCGTTTGTGTGGCCCGTGAGTGGACACTTAATCTTGTACCTTTGAAGGTATCTTTCCAAGAACGCTGAGTTGGAATGAGTTTGGCATGTTTAGCTAGTGGTGCATTGCACTCTTTTGACTTTTCAGTCAGTGGATCACTTTCCTCAGCTTGTCGTGTATGATAATTGCCCGCACATGAGCCCTTGTGGGTGGCCCAGGCATCATCTTCAAGATGGCCGCGGTGCACCAGATCAATCAGGCACATTGGCGTGAGGTTAGAGAGTTAGAACAGCCCGAAAATGGAATAGAGTGTAAAAATGCCCTGATAAAGCTTTGCCCTCATTGTGCGCCGTCACAGCCGACTTCATGAGATCCAGGTCTCACTAGACTTGGCGCAAGCAAGGTAGAAGCCTTTGCAGTGCTCCTGGCAGCGGTGCTGGCCGCACCTGGCTTGCTGCGCAAAACTCAAGCTGCCGGGTTTTGCTTGTCACAGCTCAGCTCGGTGACACTTTTTTCGCAGCAAAGCCACCATGCCCGAGGTCGTGGTTTCTCGACGGTGGCCTTTGGAATATGCTATCGATTGCGTTGGCTGAGGCACGTTAGATGCCACACATGTTCACCCACTTCATGCATGTCTCAATATGAACTATTAGACAACCCAGCATGTTTGGCAAAATGGAAGGCTTGTCAAAACAGCACTTATATGGCCTGATCAGTGCTTTGTTTAGCTGAACCTCTGCCAGAACTGCTGAATCCTTCCTGCCCCAATGGAGACATGTGAATTGGGAACGCAAAGCAGGTGGCGCCCAGAGTCAACAAGCACAGTCCAACATCCTTTTTGTGGTCAGGTCTACGTGAATCTAGCTGGACCCAACCTTTGCACGTGGCAGGGCCCGTTGATGGCTGTGGAGCAGCAGAGCTTTGGGGGGTCAGGGCCCTGGAGGGAAGTCCCGCAATTTGCCCAGCATGTCGCGGCCGACTTTTTGAGTTGAGAGGTGCAAGTCGCACTTGCGGAGTCACTGTGGCACCGAAGTCGGACCGAAGTCAAAGGGAAGCTGAAGGATCACCCTCCGTTCGGTTTTGGCATTTACCTGCCGCTGAAAGGCACGCGCGATGGACAGTCTACTCCATTTGCGGCCCCATTTCGCCAGTGCTTTGCCTTATGGTTTGTCGGCACCTCAGGTTGCATTGCGCCGGGTAGGAGAAGTGGTCAATTGCAATTCCATTAAGCATTGTGGGTTGGCTGAAGAGCACCAATTCTGTTAAGCTGTTTTGGTTTGCAACACGTCTGGGACAAGTGTTGCTTCCTTGCCGTGCCAGGAGGAGAACTTTTGAGTGTATTCAAAAGTCCTATCATGCCGTGTGAGCCGGAGCACGTGCTGAATCAATAGCAAATCATGCTCACCATGTTTACCTTGATGTGCTTGTACAACGTACGCGTTTTCTTCAAGAGACCTCTGCCCCAAGCGTTTCAATTCATAAACACAACACCTTAGGGACGATGCATAGACATGGAGCCAAACAAATCTGTCACTGCTGAGGATAGAAATGGCTGTACTGTGGATGTTTGGAACCAAGCGCTTGGCCTCATTCGCCCAGTTACCACCTTTCTGGTGCTTCGAGATCTTCTTCAAGGCGATCTTACAGCAAAGGCCGTCACGAAGGCTGGGGGCAACGATCACAAGAGTAGTGATAAGAAGAGGACTACGAAGAAGAAGAGGAGAAAGAAGAAGAAGACGACACAAGGGAGCCAGACAAATATAATATCATGTTCGGAACGTGAGGCAGAGAAGTGCGAAGGAAATGATGGGAATCAGTATTTCAAAGATGCGTCAAGTGCCAGGAGGACGTCCAAGGCTATGTTGGTCATCGTGCGGGGTCCCGGGTCAGAAGGTGTCAGCTCGGGACCAAGACGAATCCAGTGGTTTACTCTTTCATTTTCCCAGGTGGAGGGTGCATGCTTGTTTGAAATTCCTGTTTATCGCAAGGGAAAGTAGAGTTGCAAGCGTAACCAGCGTGAAACCGGCTCCGTGCCCGGCATGTATATATATTAATATATATATATATATGTATAATATATGTATATATATATATATATATATAAATATGCTACCCCCCCCCCCAGGGACCTACCTTTTGCTTGCCTCTCCAGTGCATGATTTGCCCATCTAGGACTGGGAGGAACGATCTCTCAACTAGGACCAGGACCAAATGAGACTAGAACGCAGGATCTCTCAACTGGGACTAGGACCAAACTAGGACTAGACGACCCTTTTGCAACCCTTGGGATCTTTGGACTGCAGGTCTCAGCTGGTGGGGCTGGGCAAAGACCTACAGCCTTGTTGCGCATGGTGCTCAGGAATTGGAAGCGTGCAAAGCCTTGCATGTCACATGTGGGCTAGTATGTTGGCAATGTGTAAAGAATCTGCCGATCGACACAGCCCAGGTTCGACTACTTTGGGTCCGGTCAGCTCACACTGTTTGCCTTTGGGCTGCTCCCTGTGCCTAGATTGCAATCGGCACATGCCACTAGGCATGGAGCTGAGGCACAATGATCACCGTAATACTTTATTTTCCCCTTTTGCCAATGAGAGCATGCCAAGCATGCCAGCCAGTATGAGAAACAAGCAGATTTCTTCTGCATATAGAAATAATACATATAAATATATGTGGTTTAGGGTTGGTTTAAGGTTTGCTTAGGGTTGGTTTAGGGCTGGTTTGGGGTTGGTTTAGGGTTGGTATGGGGATTGTTTAGGGTTGGCTTAGGGCTATGGGGTTAGCTTAGAGTTGGTTTAGGAAGGTTTACGGTGGGTTTCGGGTGAGTTTAGGCTTGGTTTCGGTTGGGGTTTAGGGTTGCGGTTGAGTGTCTGGGGACCGTAGCGGGGGTTGGATAGGGTTGTCCTACGTGCGACTTTCGACGGGAGCTGCCAAAGCGTGCTTCCTTGATTTGGCACACTTGTCTTGACAAGTTACGAGTTTCGAGCTGGAGCTGCCAAAGCGTGCTTTCTTTGTTTGGCACACTTGTGTTGAACATTTGCGACTTTCGAGCTGGAGCTGCCAAATGACATGTGAAAGCGTACAAAACCGTGGGAAACGATGGCTACAAAAAGCAATGCCGATGGCCTATTCCTATAAAGGATGTTTTGCAACTTGCTCACAAATATATCTCTTTGTATATATATATATATATGCATAGTATACGCATATAAGCACAATCTCACCCATCTAGATGCTAGCGTGAACCTGGCCCCGCTGCCAGTGCTGCCAAGCAGCACTCCACTGCTTCGAAAGCCGTCTGTTCACCGGCTATCGTCGGCGCTGCGCATGCTGGAATGCTGCAATGCGTGCCGGCTTGTAGCACAACTTTGGCACCGCGTGGCCCAGTTCATGCAGATGATCGTCAACATTGCGAAACAGCAGTCGGACGGCGCACTACCTCGTGCAACAGTCCCAAACATTGATCAATTCAGCTGGAAGGCCACCGCTCTCTTGCTGCAGTCGCTTTACCTTCAACCGTCGCACAGACTCGCAAAGGAAGCTCGTGCTTGCGCTGCTTCGAACTGACTTGCTCGCGAACGGGATGGCGAGCAATTTTTTGGAACTTGCCTTGTGACGCGTCGAGCTGGGCTTCGAGGTTTGAAGGCGCCCAGCGCCCAAATTCATGACAACACCAATTGGGACTCCCGCCTGGCGCTGCCTTTGTGGACTAAGCTGGTCGACACCGCCAGCATCACGCTTTGGAGCGCTTCAAACTCTTCAATGAGTGTTGTGCCTGCGGGCTCTCCATCATTGCAAACAATTTGGACTCATGGGTCTACTTGCCGTCCATGTGCGTCAAACTGTGGGAGGCAGAGTCATATGTAATTGTAAACGCTGCGCGTTGCCCGCCTCGGCCAAGCGCGCAGCGTCTGTGGCTCAGCTGCAAGCAGCAGAGCAGGTCAAGTGGCGATTCAGGCATGGACAGGCTCTGGGCTGGGCCTTGCTTGGTTGGTTGGTGGACCTAAGGATATGCGTTTTGGTCGAGTCTCAGACGCTGACCTCGGCCTGATGCGCCTGAAGGTCCTGTACATTTTTGCAGGGAGGAAGAGACGGAATTCAGTAGCTGGCTTCCTTAGAGAGCTAGCTCGGGTGCATGACCTTCATTTGGAAGTTCTGGAGCTTGACATCTCCAGAAACAAGAACTGTGACTTTACTTTGGCCGAGCGTGCAGAAGGCTTGGCTTCAGAGGATTGGTAGAGGAGACTTTTTCGCTGTGGTTGCAACCCCACCTTGCTCCACCTTCTCGAGGGCGCCATGGGCAAATGATCAGGGGCCTTACCCTGTGAGAAGTCTATTGTTTTCCTTGGAATTCAGGCGGAAGAGCGCTCAAGGCGGAGTTTGGCACGATCTTGGCAGATTTCGCTTTTGAGGCAATGAAGAGGCAGTTGAAGAGACCAGGGACGGTGGCCATGATGGAGCAACCAGAAGATTTGGGGAGCACCTCTTATGAGCGCAGCGTGCGGAGATTTGCGGCATGGAGGGGGTCATTTCCGCGGTCTTTTCCGAGCTGGACTTTGGGCCTACGGCAGTCAAGCCCACGCGCCTTTTGATGCGCATCTTTGTGGACCTCCACCGCGGAATGAGGGTAGGCGTGCCCCAATTCGATGAGTACGGCTGGCATGCAGGCCCCCTGGAGAGGAGAACAGGAGACCCTCTCTGTGGCAGACTTCCAGGAGGCAAAGGTGCCAAGACATCAGCGGCAGCTGCCTGGCCGCCCGGCCTGTGCGAATGGGCGGCAAGGGCCATCGTCTTCTCGTTCCTTCGGAGCAGGGCGACAATGGCGGCGAGGGCAAGAGGAACATCGAGCCGGAGGAAGATGAGAGTTTGGGCAACAAGAGAAGGGTGGAAATGGAGGAGGACATAGATCCTTTCAGGCCTCGGTTCGCTGGTGGAGGATACAGATGGAAGTCGACACAGGCGGGCTTTCGTGATGGAGGAGGACTGGCTTTTGCGGGGAGGTGGTCGAGAGAGACGAGGACTTTCCCGAAGGGAGAGCGGTGGGATCAATGGAGAAAGGAGGTGTTGGAAATATGCGCGAGGAAGATGGGGGGCATGAGCAAGCTGGAGAGGGAGTTTTTCAGGATGTCCCAAGGGGGGGGTTCTTTCGGATTAGTGAAAGATGTGCGGGAAGCAGCGTTGAGGGCCTTCCACCTCGAAAAGGAGGGGCAGCCGTTCAGGTTGAAGCTGATGGCGAGCCTCTTGGAGGCTGCGTGCGGAGGATGGCGACTTCAGCTTCCTCCTGGAGGCGGAAGAGGGCCTGCCGTTGGGACTCCTGGAGGATCTCCCGACGACTCCGACTATGTTTGAGAGGCAGACAAAGCGGGCTTTGGAGGAGGCACCGGTGGAAGAAGCGGTGCTGTGTAAGCCCAACTACCCCTCAGCGGAGGTCCACCACAACCACCTGAGGATGCATTTGGAGGGGGGAGCCGCGGAAGGCTTGGTCGAGAAGATGGCAGGCCTTTGAGAAGGAGTTTGGAGAAGAAGCGGCAATCTCGGCCTTGGCGGTGCTAGTGAAGGATGAGACCACGAATGGATCATCATCCTCCTCCCACTACCAATCCACTCCACCACCCATGCCGCTCTTCTCTTGGAGAGCCCATGGAGTGGTCCTGGTAGTCCACACTGATGCCATCCATTCCATCCTGCAACCTTCCCTCTGTTTCTCGGCCGCCCATGATCACGAACGCCAGCACTGCTCCTATCCTCCCCTTCCTGCCTGGCGCCCTTCTAGGTCCGCGTAGAGGAGCATCTCAACCAGCCATTCCGCCCCCACGCCATAGTGGGTGAGCCTCACCAAAGCCGCACTAATCCTCGCCCACCCCAAAAGTCCCAACCTTGTTGACATAGACGCAGTCCTCCCCCGTCACCACCTGGCACCCCAGATATCCTTGCTCCGTCCTCTTATACTTGAACCGCCTGTGTGCCTTCTCAAAATCCCCCACGAAAAAACCACCCTCCTTCTTATCCTCCATCTCCTCCAAGAGCACTGGCACTCGGCATCCTCACCTTGTCCTTGACGCGTATCCTGTGGTTGACCTGGACACCATGCGTTCCATCATGCACCACTCTCTTCTTCCGTGAGTTTGGTGTAGGGCTAGGGAGGTTAGGTTTTTCGGCCCTAGCTTTGCCCTGGGAGAGGCCCTTCTTGGGCCCATGGTCTTCGGCAGTGATGACCCAGAAGAGGTGATGTCTTGGGCGGTCATGTTCATCTCGGAGTGGATCTCGGAGTGGATCTCGGAGTGGCTCTCGGAGAAGGTGAGGAGGATGGCAGACCCCAGGCAGGCCGGAGAGGCGAGGATCTGGACGGATGCCAAGGGCACAGATGTGCAAGCGTGGATTGGGGGATGGTCGGACGACCTCAAGGAGTGCACATTGTTTTCGATGGAAGCAACGGAAGACTGGGCACCATGGCTGAAGGCTCGGGGAGGCAATCCGAAGAGGGTGATCGCCTCATTGGAAATGCTGGCAACCCTGGTCGCGGTAAAGATTTGGCAGTGGAAGGAAGATGGTGGTTTGAGGATCCATGCCGAGGCCTTCACAGACAATAGGGGCAACGATTTTGCTCTGGAGGGGGATGTCGACCAAATTGCCCTTGACATTGATGATCATGGAGCTGGCGGAGACAATGAGGTGCCATGATCCTGAAGTACAGCTCACATGGGTCTCAATGAACGACAATGTGGCTGCGGACGACCTCACCAATTTAGTGTTTGACAAGTTCGACGCGGGCAACAGGGTGATGGTCGAGGGTAAAGAGCTCAAGTGGCTGGCCCTCGACGACCTCATGAAGAAGAGTGCGTTGCTCTATGAGGAGATTCAGGTGAGGAAGCGGGAGAACAAGAAATCCCAGCAAAGTGTGGGCGGTTGCAGCAAGGCGAAGAAACTCTTTGGTAGATGGTCCACCGGCTGACTGAAGGTGGAAGGCCCCCCCACAGAAGCTCTGTGAGGGCGGCAGCCCTGAAGGTGGACATCTGCCACTCACAAGAAAAGGATTTGCTGCGTCCGCTTGGGGGATCTGGGTCCCCGATTCCCCTGTAATGAGCCCCCCTAAGCTGAACACATACATACACACATAAAAAACAGACATACAGAAAACATACATACGTACGTATGTACGTACGTACGTACACACATACATACACACACATACATGCATGCATGCATGCATGCACGCATGCATGCAGTTGCGTTGCACTGCGCTGCACTGCACTGTATTGCATTGCACTGCATTGCATTGCAATGCATTGAATTGTATTGCGTTGCGCTGCATGCATTTCACACATTGCACACAGAACGTACATTACATGGATTACACGCATTACATACATGACACACACTACATGCATTGCGCACATTGCATACATTAAATGCATTACTTGCATTGCATGCATTACATGCATTGCATGCACTACATGCATCACATACATTGTATACATTACATGCATTACGTACAAACACATTACATGCATTACATACATTTACACATCACACATCACATACATCACATATACACATACATACAGACATACATGCATGCATACATACATACATACATGCGTGCATACATAACATACATACATACAGACATACCTACATACATACATACGTACGTATGTACGTACGTACATGCATACATACATACATACACACACGTACATACACACACTTGCACACATACATGCATGCATGCATGCATGCATGCATGCATACATACACACATACATGCATGCATACATGCATACATGCCTGCATGCATACGTACATGCATGCGTTGCATTTCATTACATTTCCTTGCATTGCATTGCATTCGTTACATTGCGCTGCACTGCGCTGCGTTGCATTGCATTTCATTTCACTGCAGACATTTCACACATTGCACACAGAACATACATTACATGGATTACACACATTGCATACATTACATACATTACATGCATTACATACACTACATGCATTACATGCATTACATACATTACATTACATACCTTGTACACATTACAAACATTACGTACACACACAGTACATGCATTACATACATTCACACATCACACATCACACACATCACATATACACATACATACATACATACATACATGCATAAAAAGCATACGCACAATCATACATAAAAGCATACACACGTACGTACGTACGTACACACAAAACAGACGCACATACAGACATACATACACACATACATACACACGTGCGTGCATACATACATACACACGTGCACACATACATGCATACATATAACATACATACAGACACGTACATACATACAAGCATACACACATACAAACATACGACCATGCAATCATACATACATACACACACACATACAAATATACAACCAAACAAACAAGCATACATACATACACACATACATACATACATACATACACACACATACATACACACATACATGCATGCGCACCTACATACACACATACACACATACACACATACATGCATACATATAACACACATACAGACACATACATACATACACACGTACAGACATACAAACATACAACCATACAATCATACATACACACATACATACATACATACATACATACATACTTACATACACACATACATGCATACATACATACATACATACACACATACATGCACACATATAATATACATACAGGCACATACATACAAACATACACACATACAAACATACAACCATACAATCATACATACATACACACACACATACATCCATGCATGCATGTGTGTGCCTGTGCGGTTGGGGTGTGGATGACTCTCGGTTTTATGCGGTAGAATTTCCCGGGTCAAATGGTTAAGTGCCTAGCTGGTGTTACAGCACCTCTTGCCTGGGGCGGGCAGCATCACGCTCAAGTTCATTTGGAATTCCAACTCCCGGAGGCAACCAATTTCTTTCGGCTGGGATCCTTCCAACATTATGGGCTGACATTGCTGTATCATGTCATTGTCGTTGTTGGATCTGTGAGATGTCAATCTTCCAGCGTAGTAACTGGCCTGAATTGCCTCATGAGAACTGTTTTTTTCATCTGACCCAGTCCAATCATGGCACGCTTACACGGTTGCCCAACCATCATCGCACCACCACTTGCTCCGTCGACTGCAGCCGGATGCCCAGTCGATGTGCGCCAGCTTCCGCCTTCTGCGGCATGGCACCAGACTGGACTACATCGTAGCCGCCAAGCCCAAGTGACAGGCCAGGCTTCGAGGGCACCTCTAGGAAAGTCCTTGTTGCCCCACGATCCATGAAATGCATGCACGCAGATTCTAGCTTGGCATCCGCGCTTGGAAGTCGCAAGAGGCTCTTGCTTTTGGCACCCCCGGCAGAACACTTGGTTTGTTTGTTTCTTCGCTTGTTTGGGGGTTTGCTTGTTATAGCTGAGGAGTTGGGCTTGGGTTGTTTGTAGCTTCGTGAAGCTGTAAATGCCAATCACAATCCAGCACATATCTATTGTTCTCAGCATTGCTGCAGAATTGCACCAACCGTGCTTGCTGGGATCACTGTTGATACGTATTGTTGACGAGATTTGCAGATATAGTCAAAATCATGGAATCCATGATCTTGCACAGGTGTGATGACTGCTGCATATCGTGATTCCATTTTGGATCATTGCGAGCAGCGAAATGTATCCGGCGCATGCAAGGGTTCGCTTTTGGTTGAAAGAAATCATTGCTAGGCTCAGAGACAAGCCAGAGCTGCATTGACCCTTCCGGGCAGGAACCTTTTGCAAATGGCTAGGGGCGTGCAAAGAATAGGCCGAGTAGAATTTTCAGATGCATACCGGGCAAGCGCAAGAACGCCAGCAAAGCTGTCAATCCGTGACCATAGCTGCCATAGCTAGCTTATTTACATTCTGTTTGAGAGCTGAGAGTTAGATGATTCTCTAGTGGCCTTTCTTGAAGCGACCTGGCGCGCAGCGCAAAGCCTGGCAGGCTATTAAGTTGGCTGCCTGGAACGTATTGTGAGGAATGGCTTTGGCCTAGGGAGCACTGGGTTGCCAATTCAACCTTTTGCTTTGCTCGATCTTTGGAGAAGCGTTGTGGGGCGCTTTGCACCCTTTTCCTGACGCAGGGAAGGATCACCACGGCTTGGTGACGGGGGCTTAGCCACCTCCAGGCAGAAACAAAAACAATATGGCGTGAATGACTGTCATTCAAAGTCGATTACTCGGTTTGCCTTCAGTCAGTGAGTCGGTTGCTCCCTTCTCAGCGCTAAACATGCGCAGAAGGCTGCAAGGCCTTTCAGCCGGAAGATTGGCCTCTGAACACGCTGCAAGGCACCAAGCTGTTTGTTACTCTAGCTATTGTGCCCGATTCCTTGAGGGGCTGGCATAGACACACGTAGCTCATTCATGGGCCAAGTCTCATGCTTTTTCTGGCTGCTCCCACGATGGTGCGGAGAACTGCCATCCTGCCTGTACCAGGAAGCTTCACCTGCCAACTTGCTCCAAGACCACCGCTTCACAGCGCTATACGCGAAACTGGCAGGTGATGCCTTCGTGCATCTGCGTAAAGTGCCACGTTCCAGGGACTCGATGTACAGTTGCATATGACAGCATATGACAATCGGTGCATGGAAGCCCGCCAACCAGTGACCCTTTTCCCAACGGCGCCAGCTTGCGCCTTTTGGGTGTGTAATGGGTTGGCGGGCTGCCGGGTTTAGCTTCTGGGACCTTTTATGTCACCACGAGCAGGGCCCGGTGCCCAGCATGCCCCGCACATGAGCACCACCTGGGGGAGGGCCATTTCCTCAGATGGATCACCTTCTGACATGAGGATATGATGTGTCATGGAAGTATACGCCTTGGCAATTTGGGTACGAAGTGTCTCACACTCCAAATCACACTTTTGGATCAGCCCTCTCTGCTTTTGTGCCACTTGCAAGTCGCTGCCACCATTTTCCGTGTCACGGCAGTGAGGCTTCGAGGTTCTGCAGCTGAAACGCTTGCAGAGCTTGGGCTCGAAGGCAAGGGCCTCGTCGCTTCGCGGTTGCCTCACTTCGCTTCACTCGGTTTCCTCAGGCAGGCGACAGGCACTTGGTTGATACTGAAGGGGAGGCTCATTCCAAGGTTGCCGGCAAGTAAGAGAACCTATCTTGTTGCTATAGCACCCTGTGCGAGGGTTAGAAGGCTTGGAAGAAGCAGTGCGATGCGGGCAGGCAATGGCACAGCCAAGTCGGCTTCCGAAGCGGAGATCACTTGTAGCTGCCTCAGGGGATAGGGTAGATACGATACGGTTGTGCACCTGTTGCCACCGGCTTGACGGAGTCGGTGCCGTTGCCGGACCAGTGCGGTGAAAATTGTTTGATGGACAGGCCAAGATGGCCAACTTTGGAAGACGCAGCTGAGGAAGCATCCTCAAGGCACTGGAAGAGCCTGCTACCTGCACTGATTCGATTGAGATAGGAGAGATGCCATCCAGCAATCGGCTGGAAGGGCGCCTTGCCCCGGGCAAACAACTAGCAACTAGCAAACTTCGCGAAAGCCGGGGGCACTGGTGTCTGAAAATTCGTGACCGGAATATCAGTGTTTCACCTGTCCAAGCACCTGCGCAGTTTTCCGACATCCCCAGCTGACAAACCTATGCAAGGCATGTGCAGTGCTTGGCTGTCAACTCGAAGCAGGAATCTCCGACACCTGAGGAAAGGGCAGACTCCAAGAAGTCTAAAGAATATCGGAACAGACAGCCTTGCCAGTCCAAGTGGCTCGCGCGAAAGGGTACCTTATGAACCTTTCGGGATGCTCCTCAGGGCGGAGGTTCCCTCCAAGGCAGCCTGAGAGGGGTTGCAGGCTTCGGCCCACTCCTGCAACAGGGTGGTCCAGACAAGCTTCATGTTCAGTCACGGCCTCAGTGTTTGAGCATAGCGCAAGCCATGTATCACTCGCAGAAGGGATAGCTTTGTTTAGCTTTGGTGCCCGCGGCTTTCGTGGCTTTGTGGCTTGCATTTTCTTTTCCACCCCCAAAACCCATCTGAAAGTTGCAAGCCCCTAAACCCAGTCTCGATCGCCTCTACGCCTTTTGTCTTGAGGCAACAGTTGCGGGGGGACATGTTCTAACGCAGTTTGTATGCGCTTTGGTGCGCACATGCTGCAGTCTGCGGTCAATTTGGTAGCGACATGAGACTCACCAAGTCTTAGACAAAGCCTTGGGAACCCTCCCTGTGTCCATGCCATTACGAGACATAGCATATGTTGGTTCTGTCTTCAGAGGGTGTATCGGCTGGCGGCTGCTTTGTGACATTGCAGGTCAGCCTAACGGAGGTGCTTCAATCACCAAAGGCTCAATGAGATTTTGTGCGCCGCTTTTTGCTGCGCTGCCTTTATAAAAAGGGGAACGAAGGGCTGCTTGCATGAAGCTAGCGTTCACTGCCGCTTTAGCCTGTCTCAGACATCACACAGACCAAGTGATAAGGGCACGAGAAGGCCCGCCAGAATCGGATTTCTCGGTTGTAGTTTACTGCCTGCTACGAAAGGACCCTCTCGAGTACCCGAGCAGTTCATTGTCAAACACAACACATGTAGTTGCAGAGTAGAAAGATTGACATGTGTGCTATTGAAGAGTCAACTATTGGCATTTCCGCTCCTTGCGGCGGCTGAGGCTGGGAGGTAGAACTTGCAGCCTCCTGCGCTCAATTCAAGCAGTGGGGCCTAGTCCGCGCATGGTGAAATTGCCTTTGAGAAGCCAGGGCCATGTCACCTACTCTGTTAGGCCCACGCGGCTGCTTGCTCTGGGCTGCTTGACCAGCTCGTGCACAAAGGGTGCCTTTCACACTTCGTTTGAGTCTAGCACTTATTACGCATGCCACTACAGTCCATGGTCACCCCATTCTGACCTTGTTTTGTCACAGTTTTTTCACCTACTGGGCAAGAGCAAATGCCGGACCCATCTCACCAGCGCCACACTTTGCCGTGTTCGCCAAGCTGGCATAGGTGCAGCTTTTTCTCGGCGTGCTATTCCGAGGTTTGCAATGACGATGCCCAAAGAGGGGACACTGAAAGGCCATTTGGGCCTGAGGCCAGGAACTGTGCTGCAATATGGCAAGATGAGAGGGGCTGTGTGCCGTGACTGATGGGAAACTGTCCTGTTCAGCTTTTTCCCTGAAGGAGGGTTTGGCACGGGATCCGGGGTTTGGCGGGTTTTGGGCAGGCCTTGCCGGGCTCACCTGCTGCTTGTAAGATTCGACAAGATGCATGTGCTCCATTGCAAGGCGGCAAGGCCACATGTTTCCTAGCTTCTGTTCAATTATTTCTTTGGATAGTCAGTCACATTCACTGAGCCGGCCATTCAAAGCTCACTATGTTTAATGCATGCAAAGCTCACGCATTGTGCATGGCTCATCTCGCGACAGGTGGCCATGACCGGTGCCCGCAAAAGCTGCTTGCTTGCTTGCGCTGGGGGGGGGGGGTTGGGACACTGCTTGGGCATTGCGAATTGCGCATGTGACCCTGTATCTTGAATCTTTAGCAAGATTGTCCAGTGAGAAAGGCATCCTCCTACTGCCCCCCTCATCCTCGTCCTCATCACCATTATCATCATCGTCATCGGCGTCATCATCATCACCATCATCATCATCATCATCATCATCATCGTCGTGATCATCCCCAGCACCGTGATCCATGTTCCACGATCCATCATCCTTCAGGTTTGTTTCTCATATGTTTCCAGTTCTCGACAGTGAGCATACAACTGAACCACATCAACCACCGTACCAAATTGTTGAGTTTCAAAGCGTGCCCACACAATCAAGCATGCCGCAAAAAGTTTTTATGTTGTTGTTGCATTTCTGCAATTTGTCAGCCGGAGCGCGGCGTGCGTATTGCAGTACTTGTTTCTCTCCGATCCATGATTTTGCAGAGTAATTGGAACGTCTCTTTTCCGGCGAAAGAAACAAAGAAGCAAATTTGGAGTCGCTGCAAGGAGACGGTCTACGAGCGGATTGGGCATCACCTGGTGAGGCGCCTCCAGGGCACTTAGTCACCGGGCTCTCCCTCCTCCCCAAGGTGAATTCAAGACAAATCCCTGCTGGCTGCTGGCAAATCATAGGGGATCAACTGCGCCTTTTTGGATTCAGCCCCATGTTTCATGTCATTCATAGACTTCGTTTCGCAATATTTGGTGCAATGCTTGTGCATTGCTTAGACCTCAGCGAGTGCAACAAGCCATATCATGCCACCAGCACGTCCCCTTCCTGAAAGCACTTGCTGCAATCAAGCACAGTAAAAGCATCAGCTGTTCGTCTCCGCTGCCGCATACCGACCAACAGAAGCTCACCACAATGCCACATGGCGCGTAGTCAGCCTCCCTGCTAATTCGCTGCTTGCAACACTTCACGATTTGTGACTTTGGGCGCAAAGCCATCAACAGAAGTCAGGCGATGCCAGCGTTCGATGTTGTGGTGGTAACTTTCTGAAGCCCCTACCTAGGTTTGCAGCTCGGGGATCCCTGGTGAAGCGAAGCCACGTGCATCACGCATGACCACGGGACTCAACGCACCCAGTTGTGACTGAATCCAGAGCCGCAGCCAAAAGGGACGGGAAAAAGGCAACAGCACGTGTTGAGAGGATATGCAGCCCCAACGGCATTCAGACCGGACGCACACCGCAAGACGACTGCATAACAATCCTTTCAATAATCCCTCTGGACCCACAGGCAAATTGCGACTGGCCCCAACGAGTTGCATCTGAACTTTGGTCGAATTTTGTTAGCCTCATTGCTGCGGGCAGTTGCGCCTTGGACGGCTACAATGCTCGGCGCTCAAAGGTGCTGGGGCCATTGCACAAAGCGTTTTGGGCATTTGCAGGCTCAAGCTGCCAGTGATTCATGTATTTTCCAGGGTGCAGCCAGCAAAGTCCATTCACATGTCGCAGCAGGCAAGCTCATGCATGCATTGAACTGATGTCCTGAGCCACTGAGGCATGCCTTTTTGCGTACGGCCAGACTGGTGCTGGCAAGACGCACACGGTGGGCCCGCAGCTTGATTTTTCATTTGCCAAGCCGGAGAAAGTAAGGCACACTCGACACTTCTAACAAACTGTAGCATGCTTCAGTTTCCCATAGGCAGAGACAAGGCGTCCCCGCGTGCCAGGTGCTCGGGGATGTACATGTGCCCGAGAAACGGGGCCTGCTGCCACGCGTCATTGAGGGCCTCTTTGCAGAGCTGGCCGCTTTGCTCAACCAGAGTTGATACTTTGGACTGTTTGCGCTTTAGCCGCTTTAGGACTTGTATTGATGTCCATGCACTGATCTTTGGAGAAGCACCGCGAAATAAAGTCAAGCTTGCTCGTGGCTGGGAAATGAGTTTTCAGCTTCCAGTTCTCTGGGTCTGAAATGCAAGCAGGTTTGCCGCTCTGCCTCTCATGTTTGCGAATCATGGAAATGCCATGCGTGCAGAGAGAATGCCAGACTTCTATAGAATAATTCATGATTCATCACTGGAATCATGGGTTTCACTCTTCGTGCTGAGGATGTGAACAAAGAAAGGCTGCTGCTTGACACCGCTGACAAGGCTTGCGTGTGGCTTGCGATTGTCGCTTGCCAAAGGCCAGTGCCCGGAGCAGGGATTGCAGAAACAGCTCGTGCTCCCCAGCTTGGTGGAGTTTTGCATTCTGATGTTTAGCGTACTTTGTTCCGCGCCGGCGCTTGGCAGGAAAGAGGGGCATGCCCTTGCCAGGTGTCATGTGGAATCAATACATCCCCGTTGCCTCTTTCCATTGGGCCTCCAAGCAGAATGTGATGTGCAGGAGGATGCTGACTCCACCAAGAAGAACTCATTGCAGATCTCGTGCTCAGATCGCTGACTAGATGTTAGCCCAGCATCACCAACATCTAATGTTTGGGGCCTTTTACACTGTGTCAATCAAGCTCTTCTGGCTTCGGCATGACTCCTTGACGGTTCCTGCCGCCCACAGGTCATATCACAACACTTGCTCTTTTCTGGTTGGCATGGCTCGTGAGCCTTTGAGTTCTTGGCCTTATTCCCATTTAGAAGTCTTTTTCAGTGCTGCAGGCAGATAATTCAGAAACACGGCACACGGCACGGAACACAAACTCCCAGTCAAGTGCGAGTGCGCATGCATGTGAAGATAGACACTTCGAAATAATTCTTTGACAGTTCATGACAGTTCATGACAGTTCCCTTACTTTATCTTGTGGTGTATCGTTTGGCTGTGAGGTACCTGGAGATTTTCAATGAGCAGATCCACGACCTCCTTGTGCCTCCGAAGGCAGGCTCGGGATTGGAAGCTCGGCGTCACGCCCCCACAGACAGACAGGCCTTGAGCTTACACTATGCGTTTACCATGAACCATTTTGCATGTCAGCTCGGGCCCCCGGGTGTTTCCCCGGTGTCAGGCAAGTTGGGCAAGTTGTCAGGCAAGGTTCTTGGCAAGCTGCCTGCGCCAGGTGGGCGAACCGCGCCAGGCCCTGCAGGTGCCCACGCCCAGCTTGTCGGACATCCCCCGTTGGATTTTTCGGGGCTTGCACAGATTGCACAGGTTCAGAGATAAGGCCTATGTCGGGTCAGTGTATCTCAACGAGCAAGGGACATGTTGCAGAGCGCAGTCATGTGCTTCCGTGCCCCTGTTTCTTAGTTGATCGGCCTCCAAGTTGCAATTCGTTTTGACTCGGTGGTTGATGCTCTTTGCTGCCAGGTTCGCTACCACCCTTCGTTGGGTGTCGTGCGCTGGCCATGTTTGTGCCAGTTGGCGGAAAGATGTTCAATGCACAGTGGTTCCGCGGTACGGCAATGGGGCAATGGCTGGGCATTCATTGCAGATTCCCTCAAGCGAGTCCAAGCCTTGGCTGGCAGATGATCAACGATCTGACGACATCATCAGCCTCCAACTTCGATGAGGTGGGATGGATCATGACTTAATGGTCCTTAAGGGTTCAGGGTCTTACTTGCAAACACACGGATTTCACGCACGTCTTGGATTCGAGCTTGTGCGAGGCCATGGAGCTGGTGAACTTCGGCACCAGGACACTGACGTTTGGAAGATGGGACAACAGTCTTAGGGAGCTGGAAAGTTGAAAGGGAGATGGCCCTTTGCCAGAGACTTCGGTTGCTTGTGTCACTTGGGTTTTGTAGAACCTCTATTTGGCCTTCCTTGGCAGGATGCGAAGCATCGCATCCACGTCCATGAATCATCGCAGTAGCCGCGCACACACTGCAGCGTGCTCAGGTTTTCTTGCAATGGGCTCAAATCAAGTTGAAAGGGCCCAGCCCAATTGCTCATGTAGTGCTACAAAGGACAGTTTGCAGATTTCCTTGGGTCGGCAGTCTTTCTTGGGCGTGCATTTGGCAACATAAATTGAAGTAACCTTGGGTAACTTTGCAGCAAGAGAGAGGCCATTGAAGGCAGGGGCAGAAGCGCCAGGAATCACCTCCAGAATTGGCCATGGTATATAGCCTAACGACTTGCAAAACCGGCACAGGTTTTCACCTTCCGCTTTGAGCAAACGTCCAAAGATGGCGAGACGCGCGCCATCCGCGTTTGGGCTGCGTCATTGGTATGGGCCTTGGATGGCAGTTGGTTGATTGGCGTGCTTGTGTGTGTGTGTGTGTGTGGGTGCGTGCGTGCGTGCGTGCGTGCGTGCGTGCGTGCGTGCGTGTGTGTGTGTGTGTGTGAATCCTTTTAGATCATTCAGACATCGCCTCACAGCTACTGCGTTTTTTGACATCAGGGCAGAGACATTTACATTGCTTACCCACCAATGAATGAGGCAGTGGCAGTGGGGACATGAGTTGCTTCAGAGCGCACCATAGATCCCCCAATAACATTTTTATTTTTTCCTGAGGATACGTTACACGCACATCAGTTCTGTGGTGGGGTATTCCAACATTTGTTGTAGATGGATGCTCCTGTTGCAGAATGATGTCATGACATCATTCGAGCCATTTGAAGGGGATGTTTTTGCTCGGCTTTAGGCCAAAAGTCGTTGTCCAACATCTCGCGAAACATGCCCGCCAATCCGCCAATCACAGCCCACCCACTCAAGCGGATGGATGATCTAGAAAGTGAGAGCTTCATGCCGCGCCTCTGATTCAACTGCCCCAAGGGAGTCCCAAAGTTGGGAAGCTGAGCTTTCCTTCCCCCATGTCTCTCAGCTTCCTACAACTCTGCCAGGCAGATGGCGCAAGTTCAACTTGTGGACCTGGCCGGACGTGAGCAGGTTGGTCACATGGGGCATGGGTATCATTGTGGCCTGTGGCCTTGTCCAACCTAGCAGATGAGAGCCCTGATTGGGCCACGCGCCAGGAGAAGAGCAGCGTTGACAACAAAGACCGCCTGCAGATTGCTCAGTGCTAGCAAGAGCCGCGGCGACTGCAGCCAGGTTTGCGCCACTTGTGAACCGGCTAAAGACGAGCTCCGCACGAATTGTGGACGCATTGTTTGTTTGAGTTGAACACCAACACAGAAACAACACATGTGTGCGAAGGGATATGCTGCATGCCTCACACAGCAGCCTTTCTCCTATGATTGCAGAAATGATGCAGGAGAGAGCGCAAGCCAGACATTCGGGGTTAGTGGGCTTGGCCTGGATGTTGCGCAGCTACTTTGGCAGTGGTGCAGATAGTTTAGCTGCTACCTGCAAACGATGTGCCCAGGAAAGAGAGGCAGTTCATCAATACCTCCCTTTTTCACCTCACTACCTGCATTATCAACCTGTCGAAGGCATCCAAGGCCTGGTTCTCAGGACTTCCGCAATTTGAAGCTGGGCTTTGTTCTTGCATGACACTTGGACAATCTCGCATGGTCCTTATTCGTGGTTGGCTAAAAACACAATGCAGGAGCATTGCGCATTTCAATTGAGACAACTTCCAGCAAGCAAGGGCATTTGCTGGCTTCAAGCTTGGGCCAGGGGCGCAAGATGAACCTCACCGACTTTGCCTTCCGAAGAAGCCGCCTGTCAATGCCTTGGTTCGACTGTGCAGTTGTAATGGCACTCAAAGCGGGGATAGATGCTGGTACTCAACTTCGACGGGTTGCCAACTTGATCCTTCAAGAGTTTGGCCCAGGACCTTGTTGCTGGCGCACTCGCTCAGCGGCAACTCTCGCACAGGGAGCGGGGCTACGACGACACATCACTTGTTCTATCTCTGCTATTGTTTCATTGGTGTAATCCAGTCTTACATTGCCTTTCTCACAGAAAGCGGCTTGCCCATAGCAGCATGGCAGATCCACGTGTGATGCCTGCTTTTTAGCTTTCATACTGGCGCTCTTGTCCTTCCTCCCTTACTTCCCATTTCTTCTGAAATACTCCGGTGTTGTATTGTCTTGCTGCAACTGCCACACTTCCCAACCGAGAACAACATGGCCTTGGCGCTGATGTCCTGGCTCGTAAGCATCAGCTTGCCGCTTGCCGCTGTTGGGTCATTGTGAAAGCGATGTTTGTGTCAACCTGATTGGGGCTTCTAGTAGTGTAACTCAGGCGGATTTCAGTGCAGCTGTTGTCCGCCTCATCATATTTGCTTGCTGCTCTTTGATGGATACCAGCACCTTAGTATCGTGGGGAGGGACCCAGCGTTGAATTGTTCTTGTTGGTCAAGCCATTCTTTGCCACTCGTGTGCTTCATGCCATCTGAACACGAACTTGCCAAGATGTTGGTTTTGGTGCCTGCAGTGCTCTTGGGAATTGTGCTTCATCCGCAATATGTACAACCTGTTATATGCAGAAGCTTGCAGCATGGCCCTCAACACGGAAGGATGGTGGCGGCAGTGAGCCCTGCCAGCTCAGACTTGGACGAGACGATCAGTGCCCCCCGAGCCGTTCGATTTCAGTGGAACCGGGCTCTTTCTACTTTGCTCTTTGGGGACCGGCTATACCTGTAGCCGGCAATAAACTGAAATGTTCGAGAAGAGACAGGTGCTTGCCTGGAAGCAGAGGTCAGAACTTGAGGTGCAGAAAAGGCAGAAGGTTGATCGTGCCGCTTTGGGCTGACTAGGGCTGGGACTGACTGGTCAAGCATGCAATACGTCTTTTGGAGGACCTTGCTACTTATGAATATGTTTGGCAAGCGAGAACGGTGTGTCAGTCTTGCAAGAGTGGCTCTTCATATGAGCAGCTCCATGGCGATAGCCGCCTGTCCTCAGTTTCCTTGGTGTCTTTGTGCGCGCGCGAAATGCGAAATGCAAGCATTTTTGTTGGCAGGAAGAACTACCTTCCCCCACCCCAGAATTTGTCCGCCCCAGCTGATCGGTTTTGAAGCAACGTCACAGCATCCCTGAAATGTTTTGTCTCTTCAACTTCACCCCAAGTATTTCTTACTGCACTTTGAGGCAAGAGGGAAGTGGAAGGGTCGGAAAGAGTGGGCTTTAGTGTGCCTGTCAGGTACTTTGCGCTTTGCTGACATGGTCAAGCAGATCAGGATCATGCTTGCACTTGCACCGGTTGGGATAGCCAAAGCAAGCAAATGGCTGTGTCATGCAGGGCTCTTGTTTTCGATCAACGTGGCAGGCACTTGGTGTCGGGCAATCCCGAATTGGCAAGCAGCTTTGTGGCTCTTGTAGGGCTGCAAGTCCCAAAGACCGAGTTTTCGCTGATCACCAATGTCAGAAGCTCAGAGCTGATGCTCTCCTTATGCTGCACCCTCAAATTGCCATTGGACCAGTGGCCTTCTTTCGAGGCACATGGCATCACGCAGCTGGCAACTGACAGGCTGAGCCGAACCGATCCTCACTTCTGCCCGTTTTGGTTTGATCTTCGGATCCATCTTGCATCCTTCCTGTGCCTGCTTTCATTCTGGCCTGAGTCCATTGCTGCCCTTGGTAGATTTATTCTGTCTTTGGGATTTCCATGCCAGATTATTTGCTGTTCATGTCTCTTTTCATACTGCGGTGGCGTCTGTTCCAAAGGGGAATATTTAGAGGATGCCTCTTGTCTTACTAGAGGGGACTGTGCTGCCCACAAGGGGAGCGCCATGCACGCTTTCCCTATCCTCCGTGCTTAGTACACTTGCCCCCCAGGATGCATGGGTTGAAGCCCGTAACAACATGAGAGAGCTTTGCAACCGCAGAATTTTGTAGCCTTCGGCTTGCGCCATACATCCTTGCCGTCGAGACATCCTGCAAAGACTCTCGGAATGCAGCAAACTGGTCAGCTTTGGAGCACGAGAATCCTTGTCTTTGCAGTGCAGAGAGTGGCTATCAGCATGTGCCAATGCTTTGCCGCCCCAAACCCAGTTTGCCTCGCCCAGGATGGGCAGCGCCGGATCTGCATTGCAGAAGCAGGCTCTTGAGGCAGTTCAGTCTTTGGGAAGTGCTCTTGGAGTTGCAAGAAGCCGCTTTCCTCTTTCCAAGCTCAGGGGTGTCGGGCGGTTTTGGTGCCGCAGTTTTTCGGGGTGTGTTGGCCAGGAAACTCTTGGCAAGTTGCATGACGGCATGTCTCGGAAAGGCGTTCGCTGGCCATGCAACCATGCCTTTGTTTTCGACTATCAGCATTCCGCAGTGGTACTGCGACTGACCTTGGATTTGCTGAACCGTCAGCCAGACTTTGTTGTGCCCCACATGCTCATTCGGCTGACAACCAGTTTATGCATGTATATTATGAGTACACGTTGTATATTCAAGGTGCTGGGCCGGCAAGGCCAGTCTGGTTGATGACCTCGATCTGACCCTGCAGACGCCAAAAGGCAGACAGACAATCTTGACATACTCCGCATGCCGAGGTTCAGTATACCGGTCCTGATAAATGAAGATGATGCGTCTTTGCAAAAAAAAGGCACCTGCCAGGCAACTCCGGAGGAGATCAAGGCTCTCACGGCAAACCTCTCTGAGGTGGGCCTTTGTCGATCCCAATGCTTGCAAGAACCATTGGCAGCGAGCCAGCGACCCACCAGCCCGTGTAAGCTTTGATTCCGTTGGCCCGGATGGACCCATTGAACCCATTTTGAACTCATTTTGAACCCACTTTTGCTTTTGCTTCTTCTTTATGTCTTCGGCGACCCTCGCCCTCGGCTCGGGTTGCGACAGGCTGAGCGGCAGAAGGTGTGCGCGGCCCTGGCCGCCGTGGAGGCGGGGCTTCGGGGCTTCGAAGAAGCGCCTCGGAGACGGGAAAGGCAAATGAGTTCTCGGAGTTGGTTTCTGAAAAGAGAGGAGCAGAAGAGGAAGAAGTTATGCAGAAACTCGGATTGAGGAGCCGGTGCAAATGGTTAGCTAAATGCCAACGTCCAGGCTTAGCCGAAGCACTCATTCGATGAAGTTTTGCCAAGCCAGGAAGCACGAATTAAAATCTGGAATGGGGGACTTGCTGGCTTCGATGTCCGTGCGCATTGTGTCGAGGCCAAGGCTGAGCTGACCCAGGCTGGATGCATTCATTTGGATGCGACGTGCCAACAGAGTGGTCCACTGACCTTGTCAGTACCTGCAAAGGACTTCTTTGAATGGAGCCACACGGAACCTATTTGGACACCAATCGATTTGACTGAATGGAGGACTTCCAAAGTCTTGAGTCTAGCTTCCCACTGATCAATCTTACACTTGCAATCCCGTGTGGGGAGGCAGCTGACTTTACCAACACAATGAAAGCCGTGTGCGACTCTCCCCCCCCCCACCCTTTTCGGCGACTTTATTGTCGCGGGTTGACCTAGCTGATGCTGTTTCCAGAGAGATGTTCGAGAGAGCATGACTCTTCCGTTGCATTGTGAAAATATGCGATATGCCTTCTGGAAGCCTTTGGGGCCCCGAGTTGTTTTCTTCCCTTTGGCGGGCTGGGTGGAAGGGTCGTCGGTCGGTCAGTCGGTCGGTCGGACGGTCGGGCGGGTGCTTCTTGGGCTTTCGCGGCCTTTTTGCGGAAGGCTTTTGCGGCGTGTTTGCCTTCCATCCTCTGGCATCACTTCCAGCACCCTAAAACCGACCAACCCTAAACCCAGCCCTAAACATTTAACCAGCACTTTAGCATCCTGAGCCAGCCAAAGCCTACCATAAACCCCCAAACCCACCCAAACCGGCGCCCTAAACTATCCCTAAACCACCCTAATCCAACTCTAACCTCCCACTACACCCAGCGTAAACCGCAAAGAAATACCCACCCTAAACCCACGCTAAATCCGCAGTGAAGAAGCCTACAGAAGCCAAAAACGCAACCTAAACCAACCCGAAACCAACCCTAACCCTAAGCAGACCCTGAATTAAACTTAAGCCCACCCTTTTCCAACCCCGCAATCCTGACAAACCCTGAGCCAAACCTAAACCCAGCCCAACCCTATACCAATCCGAAACCCAGCCTAAACAAACCCTACACCCACCCTGAACCAGCTTGAAGCCGCCTCAAGATCAACCCTAAGCTTTAGACCAGCACTAAAGCATCCTAAACCAGGCTAAACCTACCCAACACCCACCCCAAACCAGGCTAAACCTAACTGAACCCCCCCTCAACCAGCCCCAACGACCCTAACCCAACTCTAACCCCCACTAAACCCAGCCAAAACCACAACTAAATCCACCCTAAACCCACGAATATGCCAACCCTAAAGACACTACCCAATCCTATTGCATTACAGCAACCCTAAATCCACCCCAAACCACCAATACACCATCCCAAAACCAACTCTAAACCAGCTCAAACCTACAGCAGCCCTAAACCAGCCCGAAACCCACCCTAAACCAGCCCTAAACGCACCCTAAACCCGCCCTAAGCCCACCGTAAGCCAGCGCACGACACAATCCCTACCAACCTTAAACCCCACGCAAAACCAACCCTATACCCATCCTAAACCTAAACCACCACTAAACCAACTCAACCATCACTGAGCCTTAAACCCATCCTAAAACCAGCCCTAAACCACCCTAAACCAACCCTAAACCAGCCTTAAGCCCAACCAAAACCAACTCTCCACCGTAAACCAGGGCTAAAACCACCAAACATCAACCCCAGCGAACAATCAGCAAACCCACACCCGAAGCCAACCCTGAACCAACCCCAGCCCACCCCAAGCCCACCCTAAACCAGCACTAAGCCAACCCTGAACCAAGCCAAAAACCCACCCTGAAGAAACCCAAACCCACCCCAAATGGCTTCTTTGAAAAGAGTGAACCCTTTGCGGCTTTTCTGGATCGGGACATCCCCGCCAAACCTAGGAAAAAAAGGCCGCGCCGAACCTAGGGAAAAAACAGCCTTCCGCCCTTTGCAGCTGATGCTGAAGGTGTCAGGGCCAACACACCTAAGTGTATTTTGTGGCTTGGATTGGTCTTCCGCCAGCTTGTGTTGTTGACACTTCTTTTTGCCATCCGGGCCATCCGACTCATCTGAGCCTGCGGCCACTTTGCTGGGACTGGCTGATACTGTAGACCGAACTTTCGAGCGAATGACAGATCTGGAAAACGAAGCAACATTTGTCCTGATGCTTTCCAACGTGCTGAGTGAACAAGGGCGATGCAAGAGTTCAAAGTAAACTGCGAACATGTAACGAGTTCCAAAGAGAGTCGACCGTCATTTATTCAAAAACCATATGCCTGCCAAACTTGATTCTCCTACTGCAGACATTCCAGGCCATGACTACAGCTGGTCAAAAGAGAACGGTTCGAGCATAGCTAATATCAGGACAAGCCTTCTTCTGGAAAACTTTGCTTGCATTGGGACGCACATTGTCTTCGGACGGTTGGACAGGAAAAGAAGGAGGACACTGCACCGGCCGCAGAGCCAGCAGCAATAGAAGCTGCGCCTGCACCGGAAGCCGCGCCAGCAACCGAGCCAGCGGCAGTGGAAGCTGCTCCTGCACCAGAAGCTGCACCAGCTGCCGCAATGGAAGCTGCCCCTGCACCGCAACCTGCAGCAGAGGAGAAGAAGGAGGAAGCCGCTCCTGCTGCAGAGCCAGCAAAGGAAGCTGCTCCTGCACCGGAGGCTGCAGCCGCCGAGCCAGCAGCAGTGGAAGCTGCCCCTGCACCAGAAGCAGCACCAGCTGCCGCAATGGAAGCTGCCCCTGCACCGCAACCTGCAGCAGAGGAGAAGAAGGAGGAAGCCGCTCCTGCTGCAGAGCCAGCAAAGGAAGCTGCTCCTGCACCGGAAGCTGCACCAGCCGCCGAGCCAGCAGCAATGGAAGCTGCCCCTGCACCACAACCTGCAGCGGAGGAGAAGAAGGAGGAAGCCCCTCCAGGTTGGGAGGAGATGAAGGCAAAGCTCGAGGCGCATTCCGACTTGACACACATACATTTCGATTCGACTGCTGGCACCTGCGTTGAACTCTTTTGCCCATTCACTATCCCGCGGACGGTCCCCCCCCATGGTGTGGTCCGCCCCCTTGAGATTCCGGGAGGGAATGCTGCAGTAGCTATGACTTTAGAGCCTCCGGCTCAGTCCGCCGACATTGTCCTCTCCCTTTTCTCCTTCTTCCTCTCTCCCCTGTCTGCCTCGTGTGTTCTGTTGTCCTGTATGTATGTATGTAATGTATGTATGCATGCATGCATGTATGTACGTATGTATGCATGCAATGTATGTATGTATGTATGTATGTATGTATGTATGTATGTATGTATGTATGTATGTATGTATGTATGTATGTATGTGTGTGTGTATGTATGTATGTATGTATGTATGTATGTATGTATGTATGTATGTATGTATGTATGTATGTATGTATGTATGTATGTATGTATGTATGTATGTATGTATGTATGTATGTATGTATGTATGTATGTATGTATGTATGTATGTATGTATGTATGTATGTATGTATGTATGTATGTATGTATGTATGTATGTATGTATGTATGTATGTATGTATGTATGTATGTATGTATGTATGTATGTATGTATGTATGTATGTATGTATGTATGTATGTATGTATGTATGTATGTATGTATGTATGTATGTATGTATGTATGTATGTATGTATGTATGTATGTATGTATGTATGTATGTATGTATGTATGTATGTATGTATGTATGTATGTATGTATGTATGTATGTATGTATGTATGTATGTATGTATGTATGTATGTATGTATGTATGTATGTATGTATGTATGTATGTATGTATGTATGTATGTATGTATGTATGTATGTATGTATGTATGTATGTATGTAATGTATGTATGTATGTATGTATGTATGTATGTATGTATGTATGTATGTATGTATGTATGTATGTATGTATGTATGTATGTATGTATGTATGTATGTATGTATGTATGTATGTATGTAATGTGTATGTATGTATGTATGTATGTATGTATGTATGTATGTATGTATGTATGTATGTATGTATGTATGTATGTATGTATGTATGTATGTATGTATGTATGTATGTATGTATGTATGTATGTATGTATGTATGTATGTATGTATGTATGTATGTATGTATGTATGTATGTATGTATGTATGTATGTATGTATGTATGTAATGTATGTATGTATGTATGTATGTATGTATGTATGTATGTATGTATGTATGTATGTAATGTATGTATGTATGTATGTATGTATGTATGTATGTATGTATGTATGTATGTATGTATGTATGTATGTATGTATGTATGTATGTATGTATGTATGTATGTATGTATGTATGTATGTATGTATGTATGTAATGTAATGTAATGTATGTATGTATGTATGTATGTATGTATGTATGTATGTATGTATGTATGTATGTATGTATGTATGTATGTATGTATGTATGTATGTATTGTAATGTAATGTAATGTAATGTATGTAATGTAATGTAATGTAATGTAATGTAATGTAATGTGTAATGTAATGTATGTAATGTATGTATGTGTATGTAATGTATGTATGTATGTATGTAATGTATGTAATGTATGTAATGTATGTAATGTATGTAATGTATGTTATGTATGTAATGTATGAATTTATGTATGTATGTATGTATGTATGTATGTATGTATGTATGTATGTATGTATGTATGTATGTATGTATGTATGTATGTATGTATGTATGTATGTAATTTAATGTAATGTAATGTAATGTAATGTAATGTAATGTAATGTAATGTAATGTAATGTAATGTAATGTAATGTATGTATGTATGTATGTATGTATGTATGTAATGTATGTAATATGTATGTATGTATGTATGTATGTATGTATGTATGTATGTATGTATGTATGTATGTATGTATGTGATGTATGTATGTATGTATGTATGTATGTATGTAATGTAAGTAATGTAAGTAATGTATGTATGTATGTATGTATGTATGTATGTATGTATGTATGTATGTATGTATGTATGTATGTATGTATGTATGTATGTATGTATGTATGTAAGTAATGTAATTAATGTATGTATGTATGTATGTATGTATGTATGTATGTATGTATGTATGTATGTATGTATGTAATGTAATGTATTTATGTATGTATGTAATGTATGTATGTATGTATGTATGTATGTATGTATGTATGTATGTATGTATGTATGTATGTATGTATTATGTATGTATGTAACGTATGTATGTATGTATGTATGTATGTATGTATGTATGTATGTATGTATGTATGTATGTATGTATGTATGTATGTATGTATGTATGTAATGGAATGTATGTATGTATGTATGTATGTATGTATGTATGTATGTATGTATGTATGTATGTATGTATGTATGTATGTATGTATGTATGTATGTAATGTAATGTATGTATGTATGTATGTATGTATGTATGTAAGTAATGTATGTATGTATGTATGTATGTATGTATGTATGTATGTATGTATGTATGTATGTATGTATGTATGTATGTATGTATGCATGCATGCATGTAATGTATGTATGTATGTATGTATGTATGTATGTATGTATGTATGTATGTATGTATGTATGTAAGGATGCAGGAAGCCCAAGCCAGCAAAAAAGCCGGCAGGGGGAATCGAGCCTGGGACCCCTGTTTTGCGACACCGGCTCCCCGAAGACTACGTTTAGTGGAACGTCATCAAATTGCCGCGCGGTACGTGGGGGACCCCCTGTGTTTGGTTTACTGAACACTTGATCTCCTGCAACGTTTGGCTCAAGGCCCCTTTTGTGTAACATTGCATCAGTCATGATCGCGTGAAGCAAAAGAACCTTAGCAGGCCGCTTACAGGATTATCCACAAGACACTCCACCAGGGACAATCCATCCTCCAATCATCCACAGTGGCATATTGGATTCTCTCCGGAATAGATCCAGGGACCAAATCAACGACCTCTACTACCACAGGGTACCAGTTCCCTTCTGGGATAGGCACCTGGGGCAGTGGGCCTCAATTTGTGGTAGGTATTTCCGCAGAGAGAATCAAGGGAAGCTGTCATCCGATGGAGAAGGCTTCATGGAAGCCTATTCAAGTATGGCCAAAAATCCAGGCTATACGGAGGAAACACTCAATTTATCGATGACCGCCAAGCAGCCGCCGTCGTGCGACGGAAAAGTCAGCTGGTTCAGGTATGAAGAACTCGTGGACGACTGGGTGACAATCACAACAGTGGAAGCACCCAAGAGAGGACCTCTGCTCAAGAGCAGATTGACCGGAGATGCATATATGTACAAGGCAGTCCTCCAAAACGACTTTTTGCAAGATCCTGATGAAGGAGTCAACTATTTCAAGAACACGCTGAAGAAGTACTTTTTGAAAGGTGCGACCAACGTGTATCTGTACAGGCTCCTCAGTTTCTTCAATCATCGAAGGCAGAACCAAGAGTTCCTCATTTTTACCTCAAAATTCGAAATCCTTCTTATGAGATTGCTCGACATCAGCAAGCAGCCGGTGTTCGAGCACCGCCTCCAGCCCTGCTCAATGAGGATGATCCAGTAGTCCTCAGACAGTGTATCCAAGGAATGCAGGACAGACAGCGGGACGCATTTCCTTTCGGGGATAATCTCATTGCACACTTTTTCATCATTCAGAGTGAGCTGTCAGATCAGCAAAGAGAGAGACTGACAAGTGCAATGTCATTGAGAAACATTTCACTAGAAAACTACTCCTATGAGATGCTGAAGACGCACTACCATGAACTCTTCATCACGACGAGGACATCCATCCAAGATCCATCCATCCGACCTCAAGGAGGCAACCGAAGCAATAGATTCTTCATCATCGAACAAGGTGAATATGAAGGAGAAGAAGGCTTCTGGGTTGAGGATGAAGAAGGACTTGAATGATTCATGTCAAACAACGATGAAGAGACATTCTGGGTCCTCGAGGAGAACGATGCGTTCATAGCAAGGAAAGTGTCTGGGCGGAACTTCAAATTCAAGAAGAGAAAAGGAAAAGGAAAATCAGGAAACAAAAAGGGCAGTCACCAACGAGGTGGCTTCAAACCCTTCGGAAAAAGCGGTTCTGGCGGAAAGGCAAATATGGCCAACGAAAACTATGATCCCTACGACCAGGCATATTGGGGAAAAGGCAAAGGAAAGAAGGGAAAGAAAGGAAAATCAAAATTCCAATATCCCTATGATGGAAACAAAGGTTATCCATCCTATGAGAGTGGCAAAGGAAAGAGCGGACAGGAGAAAGGAAAATCCAAGACGTTCGCAGCCACCGCAGAGAAGACGGAGGAGCAGCCCGCCATCCAGCAGACTGCACCATCCATAGAGCCTACCTATGCCGGTTGGACAGACCAAGACTGGGATCAATCATGGACATGGAACGAACATGGCTGGTACTCATCCCATGAGACATCCAGCACAGGACAAGCGTTAATGGCATTCCATGATGCATATGAGCATCCTGGGAAAAAGGCCATCCACGAGAAGCTGATCCAATCAGATACAGTTTCAGAACACAATCTGTCCGTCACAACAAATCACAGCCTTCTGGCAACAAAGCTGATGGCGCCTGTCATCAACCCTCAGCACAACCGACCTATGCGATTCTGGACAATGGATGTACCAGATCTATGGGCAGCTGGCATGCAACCCAGTCATCTCCTATGAGTACATCCCGGCCGAGACCAAGTTCACTTTTGCAAACGGAGAGACCGCCAGGGCAAATTGGACCCTGCATCTTCGATATCACACAACTCCTCCATGCAGTACCAACATCGACGTCCTTGATCAAGGAACTGTGCCGATCCTCCTCAGCATCAGCCAGGTGCGGAACCTCTACATGACCATCGAGCACACACCTCAATGTGACAAGATCACACGCAAAGCCTTTGGCATGAACCAGTATCCGGTACAGGACA